ATCACCTGTTCCGGTGCGTACACTCGGCTGAGTTGCTCCGGCCCTGGAGCTTGCATTCAAGGCAGCCGTGCTGGCATTTTGCGGCTGGAGCCTTGTGCCCATACCCATTCTGGGAAGATGGCGGATCCCTGCCAGACGCCGATTCTGCAGCAATTTGGCCTGCTTGGCAATTGACACGGCATTCTGCGTCAATTGTTCCAGCCAGCTCTCCGCTTCTTTGGTGTTTCGATCGTTTGCTCCGAGTTCTGTCAGGAAGATACTGTACGCGTCTCGCATCTTGTTGACGGCCCCATGCGGGTCTCCGTCCAAAGCCAAGGCCTGCGCCAACTGGAACAGGATGGTAGCCGCGTTGATAGACTGACGTCCGAAGAGACCCTCACAGACTGTGAAGCAAGCTTCAAACCACTTGCGAGACTCTGAATACTCTTTGATAGACTGGAGCATAACCGCAGCGTTGTTCATTGTCGTAATTGAGTCAGGATGATTGGGTCCAAATATGATCCTCCAAATATCCAATGCATGTCGGACATATTTCAATGCTTGCCTCGTATTCCCCGTATGATGTTCGAAAAGGGAAAGATTGAGGTATGCCAGGATCGTGTCGTGTGAGTCCACCCCCAAGGTCCGTTCCGTGACAATTACAGCTTTGCGCGCGAGCTCCACGGCTGCGTCCTTCTCATCTGTCTGATAGTAGATCGTCGACAGTGAATTGTACATCTTAGCCACCTCAGGGTGAAGGATTCCGTAGATCTGTTCATGCAGAGAAAGAGACTCGAGGACAAGTTCCTGTCCAAGTTGCTTCTGGCCCTGGGCGAGAGAGAGCTTGCCAGCCTCCAAAGCTTCTTCGGCCAGAGCACTCCTTGGAGCGGCGTCTTTGACAATGGGGGCGATATTGAGGATGTCCTCAGCACTGAAGGTTGTGCAGGGCTTGGCAGCACCATTACCTGATTGTGCTTGCTCACCACCCTTCCTTTTCTTCCTTTTGTTTCCCTCGTCCGGCTGACCGCCGCTATTGGAGTGCGAGTCGCTGGCACTTCGAGCAGGTGATGCATCAACGAGCATTTGCACCCCTTTACTGAAACTGTAATCTCGCGCCACCAGTTGGAGGCCAAGCCTTAACGAGATTTCTCGAAGCATTGGCAATGGGCGAATTGACGTCGGCCAATCCTCCTGCAGCGCGTACCTATATCGGATCTTGACCTGTTTCTCGATGGCCGCCTTTAGCTTCGTGGGGTTGACTTCCTCAAACGAGAAATCTCCGCCGGGATACAGAGCCCGCAGGTCTTCGTCAATCTCGGCACGCGGGTTGGCATTGATGTCAACGCCCAGGAAGCAATTCAACAAATGCGCTATACAGGTACCGGCGAAGATGACAGGCAGATGGCGTAGGTAGCGATTTGCAATGTGCTTGAATGCTCGAGCCACCATTTCCTGCAATACCACCGTCGAAAATGCTTGGAGCCGCTCGCCCTTGTCTTTGGCAGCCTTTGCAAGTCGTCCCAAGTACCTGATGTTGATTCCACGCTTGTGGATGAGTTGGCAGAGAGAATAACCATCCATCGGAAAGCCAACATCGCCATCATGGAGTTCGTTGATCAGATCCGGAATGACTTTGGTTCGCAAAAACTCGCACACCGCACGCACTTCCTTTTCGTCTGCCTCGTATTCTTGCTTTTCTTCCTCAGTCTGGGGTATCTGACCACTGCACGCGTCGGGATTCAGTGCCAGGGTGAAGTCCGAAATGTCAACCCGTTCCTGCTCCAACGCCGGAGCAACCTTGGCAGGTTCGTCTTGATCCTCACCGGACTTGTTCTCTTTGCTCTCTCCTTCAGGGGCGAGGTCTTTGATTTTCTCTTCTTCGCTATTTTTGAGGTCCCCGGAATGGCCATTGGTCTGCTTTGAGCGGCGCTTGTCAACCTCTGCCCTCACAAACTCCTGCATTTTCATGTGCCAGTACATTTCCACCAGCTCTACTCGTAGGACCGACATCCGATGTGGGTACTTCTCTTCCCCGGTGTCAGCTTCGACCTCCTCGGACCAAGCCACGTCCAGTGGAGTGATACGGTAGAGATCGAGCACATATTTTCGACCATCAGTGCCCAGTAGTCCTTTGGTCTCAACACTTCCCTCCAGATCGTGTCGGCGGCCTTCCTTATCCCAAACAGCATGCTTCTTGACGTGTAGTGCTTTCGAGAGCTTCTGAAAGACCGGAACAAAAGCTTCATTCTCGGTTACAATGTCCCGTCCCTCGACACCGCCGTAGTCGATTTGATGTTCCCCGGGTTCTCGTTGCTTGAAAATCCCTGGAACGATGCTTTGGCCTACAATGCGCTTGCCAAGATAATCCACTATGACCGTGCCTGGAGTGAATAACCCATCGATGTCCAGCTGATTCACGGCTTTGACACCTGCAACGTCTTTCCCAACAGCCACTCTGGCAGCCTCATCACCACCCTCGCTGGCGAATGTCTGCACGCCGTCAGCGCCGAAGGAGTAAAATATGTTGTTATAGATGAAGATTTGCGCGTCTCTGCCTTCGGTTGGATTCAGCGGTGCCACTTCACCCCTGGCAACAAGCACGGCACCTCTTGCTGCAGCATCGTTGTAGTCGGCAAACAGTTTAGAAGTCAACCGCTCGCGGAAAACTCGGTCTTGCAAGGTCTCTCTGGGTAGTTCACGGGTGGTCTGAAACTCTTCATTCCAATCCCGAAGATTCTCCGCACCATCCGCACCTCCGATCAAGTAGGCCTCCTGGGCTCTGGTGGGATCTGGCTGATGTTGGCTTCCCTGTGCATAGTAAGACGGGACGATCCAGGGATTTGCGGGAATCGCGTTCTGAAACGGGAACGTGGTGAGGAGGTCTTTGCTGCCGTTGATCTTCTGCAGTTCAACGAAGGTTTCATTGAAAGATGGCGACAGAGCAGATATCAAGGACAGCAGAGAATGAGCACTGTGGTTCTTGGGGGCGGGCCTCGGGAAGGGATCAAATTTGTTGCTGGAGGACTTGTTGACATAGAAGCCCGAGACGGTACCAGTGATCTGGTGTTGCTCGCCTTCGTTGGTGGTCAGCTGTAGATAGAGCAAGTGGCCTCGCTGACGAAGGTGGTATGGAGGAGGATTCCATTGAGAGACTGAGAGCGACTTGATTGTCCTTGGCAAGGTGTCCTGGTGGGATGGTAAGATGGTGTCAAGGGACACCCGTCCGTCGACCTCATAACCCGCCAAAGGATTGTCTTCCGTCTTGCTGGCGGGAGCATGGACAGAGCCGAACTTGTCATCATGCAGGGACAAACCGGCGCAGATGCCATGAAGCTGATCGGATCGGTCTCCGGTGGCGCCAATGAGTTCCCGTATGCGGACGACGTGCAACCTAGCCTCTTTCTCAGTGTACGGATCTTCGACCAAAACAATCTCGTCGTCTGGCTTGAGGTCCTTTACCTCTGACAGCTCGACAAAATCATTGATCCTCTGACCATTGTGCTCGAGATGGAAACAGGTGTACTGGAAGGTATCGGGGGTCTCGACAATGGACTGACGGACATCCTGCACCTGCTCTTGGCTCGTCACCATTATCGTCTGCTTGTAGGGCTTGTGCGGCAGCTTGACGGTGACCTGGAACAGTGCACCCGCATTTGCATCATCGTGATGAGCATGGTCGTGGCTGTGGTCGTGGTCGTGATGGTGGGTGTGGGTGTGGGTGTGGGTGTGGGTGTGGATTTGATCGTGCGCGTCGTCATTGACACCGTTTACCCCGTTCGTGAGGGTGGAAGCTGTCTCAGCTTTGGTCGGGACCTCTGTTACATCTGTATTTGCGTTAGAGGGTCAAATGGTGATGGTGGGCGAGCTACAGCAGACCTGGTGTTGTCCTCACGTCACCATTGGAATTGTCCATTAGGAAGAATGTCAGAGCAGAATGCAATACCACCGTGCTGTACAGTCAAGACCAATGCGAAGGAGTGGAAAGCCAGAGGGCAACCTGACGAAGAAAGAACGAAGGAATATGTTACAAGAAAGGCGATGCTGGGGCGAAAAATTAATGTACAGCAAAGAAACTGTGACAGATGCTGGGAGTCGGTTTGAGGAGAAGGACAATAAATTTTTGAAATGAGTATCGACAGCACCATGCATTACCGCAGTAATCGCCGCGAAGCCGGTGTTCCAATTGGATGGCGAGCAGCATCCGGAGACCTGGAAGCTGCCCCGAGGGACTTTGCTCGGGTTACGCCGGGTGTTGCGTGGTTGGTGGTAGCTCAAGCGGCGTCGCTTTTGTTCCCGTTAAGACCCCTGCCTACTGTAGGTAGGAGTCTTGGGAGTCTCAGTTAATAAAAAGGCCGCATGCCCAGGGGGGTACCAGGGGCACTAAGCCCATTAGGCCCAACGAAGCTTCCTAGCGTGTCCCGAAGGAACCTCCCTGAAGCCCGGCACGAGGCGAATTTAGCAGTCACGCGACTTGAGAGCATCTTTCACTGGCACGTTCAATATCCCTTTTGGTTGACACAAGACGACTTTGGGAGTTTGCATCTGACCTGGCTAGTCCTGGTTACGGAATGAAACACATACTACAAGTACAACATGGTTAACGCGCAAACGGGCAGCTCGAGAATTACTTCCCGCCTACGAACCCCCATAGCACACTTTTGAAGATCATACTTGGAGGTAAAGGCTAATCAAAGACTTGCCCATCCCGCCGAGCACGTGCGAGCATTCAATCCTCTCTGGGGATCGGCCTAGTGAGCCTCAGCCACAGCCGCTTCAAAGCTCCCCCTTTAACTTCTTGCCCGCCACAGGCATTGTAAATAATATTAATGTCTTGTTCTCCGTAGTCATCCATTTCAGAGCTCTTACTAGTCCTTCCTTGCGAATTCATTTCTTCCACTCATTTACCGAGCTTGCTGTTGCACTTCGCTTTGTCTTTCTCTCTCGCGATCAATCTCGCGTCATCTGGGATACACCAAACTCCGTGCTAGGAACCCTGCTGGATCAGGCGCATAGCTTCCATCATGAGAACGGTGCAAAGGGCGGTCGCCAGGCCTCAATTAGTCTCGTCGCTCGTCCGAGGCCGCCCATTGGCACCTAGGCGGTCACACCCTCGTCCTTTTTCCCAGCAATTTGGACCCGCAAGCAACATACCAGGGGTCGATCAGGACGAGGAAGAACCGTCAAAGCCCTCGAAGTCGGAACCAGAGCCCAAAAGCCGCCTGGGACCGACCTTTTCCAGAGCGTTTGAGGCGGCAATGACAACATTTGCATCAATCGCCGTTCTTGGCTTGGCTGGTTACTCGTACCACGTTTACTACAAATCTCTGGTGCTGCGCAAGATAGAAAAGGCCTTTGAACCGGGCGACCCTATGTTGGAGCTTGCATCACCAGCAGAGCCCCACGCCGCTCCTCGAGAACAACCAGTCGATGACACTGAGCACTGGATTGCCCGCCCCGAGCAGGCCAAGATCAACACCATTATTAACGGGGAATCAAAAGGCAGATATTATCTCCTTATTGGCGAAAAGGGTACCGGAAAGTCTTCCATGCTACTAGAAGCAATGAAGGAGAAGAATGGGGAGGGAGTGTCAATGTTCGAAGCTCACGCCGACCTTGAAATCTTCCGCATTCGACTCGGAAAGGCGCTGAACTATGAGTACCACGAAGATTATATCGGGTCGTTATTTTCAATACGCGGGCCACGGGACACCACCGCTCTGCTTGACATTGAACGGGCGTTCAATAAGCTCGAAAAAGTCGCTTTGGCGCACAGAAACCGAATGGGCAAACCGGGTCGGAAAGGCCCTCTGATTCTCATCGTCAACAGCGCCCATCTGATCCGCGACAATGAAGACGGGAACGACCTGATCGAACTGATGCAGCAACGTGCTGAACAGTGGGCCGCGGCAAACCTTATCACCATGGTCTTCAATTCCGACGACTTCTGGGTCTATGAACGCCTCCGACGCTACGCTACGAGAATGGAGGTGATTCCAATCCTGGATCTCCCAAAGACTCGCGCGATTGCTGCGTTGGAGAGATACCGCGCTAGATACTTCCCGGAACAGAAACGTGATCCCGAGATCCTCAAGCAGGTGTACGACCTGGTGGGCGGTCGCCTTAACTTCCTCAACAGGGTCGCCAAAAGCTCCGACATGCTGAAAATGTGTCGACAAATCAACGAAGCAGAGAAGACATGGTTCCTGAACAAGTGCGGTATCCTCGGCGAGGAAATGGACGACGACGTGATGGACCAGCAGAAGTATGCCAGTGCAGCTATGGTGCTGGCAAAGGCACTTGTGGACAGAGAAAAAGACATGGAGTCCAGTTACGACGACGAGCATGGGCATATTTTGCCACAAATCCCTCTCTACGTTGCTCGCCAAATTATGACCCGAGCGGATTTTATCCAAAGCTACGACCACGAGAATATCTTCACCATTGACAGCAGGGCCATGGTCCGAGCCGACAGCGTGCCCATGATGAACGCATTCAAGGAAATCTGTGCGGAGCCAGGGTTCAACGACTATCTGGAAGCCACGCTCGACCGGATCTCGGCCATTGAAAGTATCAACAGAACCAAGGAACTCACATTCAAAGATTTATGGATTGAACAGAAAGGAGAGCAGAGGGGCAAATACTCGTTTGTAACGAAAGATGCTCGGGGCCGAGAGACTGGGACTATTGAAATGAGAGTGCATCCAGACAAGCCGCCCGAGGAAGATGACGACTGAGAAGGACAGAATTGATAAATTACTTACCGATAGCTTACCTTGTTGTTCTCCTGGCTTGCCCAACTTGCCTTCCTATCCTGGTACCACAGCTTGAAGGACAAACCATGTGAGCGCCTCAATGGGCATGAAATAGATGAACTGCAGGACCAAGGACTGGCTAAGAATGATGGGCTATTTGAGCGATGGATACCTAGGCATCCAATATTATTGCCAAGGTTGTCGGGCTAGGTCCGTTACTCCCGGCTTGCCTTCTTCTCCTGGTTCCCATCACCAGCGGTTTGGGTTCCAGACAATACACACACTGCCGAACCATGTCGCGAGGCCAATCGTCACCGTCGAGTTCCGAGTCAGAGCTCATCCAGGTGCAACCAAGGGCGGAGTAGTCTATCCCACAACCTGGGCAGTTATTCCTGTTGTTGGAATATAGGGCGATCCATCTTTTCAAGTTTCCAGCGGACGGGGGTTGGCCGCGGTCGAGAGGGAAACGCGGCTGTTGGACTTCCAAAGTCAGCAAGTTGTGGCGGGCAGTAATGGGGAGCATTTCATTCCGCTTGGATCTGCAGCCAAAGCACAGCCACTCAGAAGACGGTTGGTCGCGGACGTCCTCGCTTTCTCTCCAGCCACATTCACATCGCCTCGGAGCCTGGGATTCTGTGCGGCCTCGGTGGAAACGCTCACTGCAGGGACAGCAGTAATGGACTTCATCAGATATCCTCGACCGGTTCGACTTCAGGCGGGCTAAGAAGACGCAGGAGATGCAAATGAACTTCCCACAGGCAGAGGTACCGCCTGTGTTCGGAGAACCCTGACCATAGCACAGTTTAACAAGCAACCTATCAGAAGTCATCATATGACATTGATCGCAAGTGATGACCCGCAGCCCCGCGAAATAAGGATCTTTGGTGTCTTGTCTGCGCGGGTTGTAAGGATATGGCTTCAACAACTCGGCGGTGGTCTTGCAGGTCATCCGGAGTCGGGCGTAGTCGTACTTGTTGAGAACACCGGCTCTGCGCAAACCATGTTCAAAGGGTGCGATATGACTGAGGACGCTGACGAAATCTGGTTTTTGGTCCCGAAGGAGCTGGGAAGTCACCGGAACTGTTGGGTCTGGTTAGGGAGGGCTCAATCTGGGTATGGCGATGGTGCTTACCAGGGGATTCCTCATCTGCCATGTTTGTGTCTGCGCTATTCGAACTGGTAGGGAAAGATGGAGGAAGCAGAAGATGACGGCGTTCTTGGAAACAATATTTAAAGTACAATGGTGTTGTGCCTGGCCTTTGACGCAATCTCAGTTTTGGTGGACCACAGTCCTTTGGCATTCCAAGGTCTCTTGGTAGGCCATTGTCGATTGTAACGCCAGGTCGCTTTGTTTCCGAGACCGAACACGGCTGCTCCTATTCGAGGACAAGTGTATTGTTTGCTTACCTTTGGGGCACCTGGACAAGTCGAGCCCGACTGCTGATCGAAATCTCGAGCTCTTGTGTGAGACGGTATAGTTGATAACCGGGTTTTATTTTGTTCTTTGAGTAGCCTGATTGCTTTGGAGTTGAACAAAGTCGCTGGTGCATGTGTGTTGGTGACCTGGTGCACTCGAACCAATCACGTCACGATCGCGAAAGAGGTTGTTTTGTTGTCACAAAGTCACCACCACCACTACATTCTTCTTCCTCCTCCCTCCTCCACCAGCCACTGACTTTTCCTACAATTCGGCTCACCAACCCCCCTTCCCCCCTTCCCCCTCTCGACAACAAGTCTGTTCTTAATCTTGTACTGTCGCTGTGGCCGTGACGACAATATCTTGATGCTCGACGACTTCCTCGAACTCGCTACCACCCTTGTGCATCCAGAGCACGAGCCGAACCTCTCTGCTCGCGCCGGGCCCAGCACATCCACCACAATCATGGCTCCTCCACGAAGCCGCCATACCAAATCCTCGAGCGTCGCTTCCAGCAGCAGCGCAGCCGATGTCGCAAACGGTATCGCAGCAACTCCAGGCTCGAAAGCCGCCCCTTCTGACACCATCAAGGTGACGCGCCCACGCCGTCCTTCGCGCTCAACCTTGTCGCCTGCCGGTTCTCCAGTCGTGGTCATCCCAAGGCCGCCGTCGCGGATGGAACTTCCGAGCACCACAAAGTCCACGGTCGCGGAGGCTAAAGGATTTGAACCCCTGAAGTTGGCAGCCACTGTAGTGTTGAGCACGCTCTTGGAGGCAGGGTTGCAGACTGGGGCGTCAATGGTCGGCGTGGGTGACCTTGGAGGAGTTTCGAGGCGGCCGGATATGTGGACTGAGGTGCTGGGATTGCTAGGGTGGAAATTGACCAAGTTGGGCATATTCTGGGTTGGCGATTATGATGGTATGTCATTGCAGTTGCGGCCTCGTCTCTCAAAGCTCGGGGAGAACTAACCGTGTCAATCTATAGCATACGACGTTGCCTCCCTTTCCCTGCTTCTCGACACCCCGCCTGCCCTCCTGCTGGGCCTCTTTTACCAGATATCTCCCATCACACTGACGTCGACGACTCTCTCCTCGATGATCGCCAACTCTCTGCCATATTATTTCCTCCGTCCCTTGTCGCCCTCTCACCACCCCGACAGCGCGCCGAAATCCAGTCTCCGAAACCGTCCCATTCTGACCGACCCATACACCACCATTGCGACATCTCTCCTCGCAGCAGCCATCTTCGCTGTCCTCCTTGAAGCCAGTTTCGCAACTTTCCTGCCAACCTGGCTCATTGTATACTTCACGGGTCTGAGGACGCTAGAACCCGCACACCTGGGTCCCGCCGGTCTCCCTACCCTCCTGCTCACCCTGATCCCAGCGGGCTGGGCCTGCATGGAATTCCTCTTTGCTCCGTCAACAGCGGTCGCGGGGGTTCCTGCCTCTGCAACCACGGTTGCGATCAAGGGCCCAGCGTTTGATCCCGCCACAGCAACTTTCTGGGGACATGTTTACCACAACGCGTGGGGATGGTACTCGGCACGCCAGAAAGAACTGATCGGTCGCACGGCGTTGTTGACCGGGTTGATGTTTGCGGAGACCGTGCTAACGCTTTGGGGCACTGTAGAGGGAGTAGAAGCCGAAGGGGCCCTGGGCTATGCTGGCGTGTGGGCTTTGGGATGTGTGGTTACAGGGGCGGTCTTGGACTGGGTCGGAGGGCCAAGTGATTGATTTCTACCAGTTGGCTTGTTCCTTCCCCGGCTAGTGGGTGTGGGTGCCCCTTGAGGCGTTAATGACTTGTATGGTATTAATTCGGTACATGGATGGGGACATGGGATTTGAGCGGAATACTCTACGTAGGGGAAATGTAAATACCTAGGTAGGCACTGGAAATGTCCTTCTTTTCTCTCTTTGTTTATTCGTGTCTTCTTTTCATCCGTTTGAACTTGGTTCCCACTCCCATGTGGTAGCTAGACCTATCCTTTTCCCATTTTCCTTTACGACGAGGCAGAAACAGAGGCTTTAGAGGTTCATTCCGGCTCAGGTCTTTTGATTGTTTCCTTCATACTTTCTTACGTTCTGTCTCCCATTCTTTTCTTTGTTACTCCCTTTCTCGCCCTCCTTCCTTCTTTCGATCTTTCTTTTTCTCTCATATTTAATACCCAATCAATCATTTCGAAACCCGGTCTTTGAGACCTGGGGGTTTATTGGAGCGCAAAGCTTGGAAGACGCTACGCCACGCCATACCCTTCGAGCCTTGTGTATCCAGGACACCTTAACGTACTCTATACTTGCTCTCCGTAAAAATGCGTACATACGCACGTTGCCGGACATAACCAAGCATGGCGATAATGGAGATGGTACGGGAATGGATTCGGGCATGCATCGGAGTCCGGTGTGGAGAGGGATATGGCGATGAAAGCATCACCGACACGGGTACGCAGACGGCGTACATATGCGTGTGGATGTGAGTGGATAAGAGGCACGGACACGGACTCGGGCATAGGGCATGGGACATGGTATGCTTGACTCATTGAGAGTGAGTGAGTGTACGATGTCTGAGACTTCAGCGCACAGACGGAGTGTTCGCATTCATGCGCGTGTACTTGCACCCACGGACCAAGGACTCGTATACACTTCAATGAATATTTACAGACGTGCCCTTGCTCTCTCACACCTTGACATGGCCCTGCAGTATTACGGCCCTCATCTTGATGGAAATGGAAATGGATGGATCTATCCACTCAATTAATCACTTAACCAATCTATGAATCGATAGATGAATCGATCGGGCAGGCAGGTCGACAGGCAGATTCAGTCTCTTGATTGATTGTATGGAATCATATTACCCTAGGAACCTGATACAAAGGTGCATACAGACAACGCAAATAAGAGTAAGTCCCACTAGTTCTAGGATGGGCGAGCGTATCCTATCACTGACAATAATGAATTGGTTTGGTCTTTCAATCCCCTGTTATTCTTCTCCTTCTGCCCCTCCGTTTGCTCAGGCGTTAGGTTCAAGGGCCTCCACTTCCAGAGCCTCGAGATTCAATGACCTCGTTCTTCCCCATCTACGGTACACAACTAGGAGTCCATCTTGGGGATCGACACCAGAAGGGCATGACAGGCGCAGTTCCGCGTTCAATGCGCTCAGATTTGCTCCCGGTCCGTCGTTATCACTGGCATCCGCATTCGACGAGCCAAATTGGCCGTCTTCCTGGTAACTTTTCCCGCAAGTCTAGAGGTTGCTGGCTCGGTGCGGTGGGCATCAATCCTTCCCTGGCGTGCGCCCTATCTCCATTGGTCATATCATCATGTTTGATTGTCATGCAAGATCTCCAACACATTGGAATACTCCATAAATAGGCCCCTGAGCCTGCCGGGCCCCGAAATCTTGCATCATGTGACTCCGTTTCTCGCGATCTACCACGCCCCAGCGATGCAGACGGCTTTCCAAAAACAAATCCCAACGTTTACCATGCAATCCCCATACGCATAGGAAAGTTGGAAAGGAGATAGTCAGATCAAGTTGAGGCCTCGGTATTCCTCCTCTCGCGCGTCCTGCTTCGTCCTCCTTTAATGCTCTTGACTCGACTGAGGAAACCAGCAGCGCCGGACTTAACATCATCAGGCGGTGGGCCCGTACCCTCCGAAGTCAGTCGCCTTTCGAGACCTAGTCCAGCTCGTTTCGGGCTTGACGGTGCTCGGGCGCGACCAGTATTCTTTGCTTGTTCTTCTCCGAAGGCGATCTGGGCGCCTTTCTTCTCGAATTCCTTGTCGTGGTCCTTGAAGAACGGGTTTGACCCATTCTGCTCTGATTTGCTCGTCCCCATTGGGCTGGTCGGGGTTGCTGTTGGCTCAGGCGAAGTCATGCGGCCACCCTCGGCGATTTTTGGGCGCACAGCTTTGATTCTCTGTGCCAGACTCTTCTTGCGCGATAGCCCAGCAGCATTTGCCTGTTCTGCTGCTTCTTGCTCGCTGTCGCGGCGTTGGATCGCGGCACGACTTGCAGGCGCACCTTCCAAGAATGTGCTTGTTCCAAGACCCGCTGTCTCGCTGCCATGCAAAGGTTCGGTTCTGGCGGTAGGGTTGAAGCTGGCGCTTCTCTCCGGTTGTGGTCTTCGAAAATAATCCCCGTCGTCGTCGTAGACTGCTGCGTCATTATAGTCGAGATTTGCTTCTCGTCCGGTACCGTGATATTGATCCAGATTGAGTTGTTTATGGACGGGACCGGAGCCACCAAGTTGCATGTTCAACGAGTCTTTGGGAAAAGCTTGCATGGGAGCCTGCTTGGAGCCTTTGCGGTTGCGATGGGGATTGCAGGCGTCGAATGGACCATCGTGGTGGAATACTGCAGCAGTCAGAATCGAGATAGTCAAAACAGGGTTGCTAACTTACAGCCGGTGCCGTAAATGCTCGTGACATCCAATTTATCGATGATATCCAATCTTGCGTTTGGCTTCTTTGATCTATGTGAGCTTTTCCCCTCCCGTAACTTCCTTTCTCGTCTCCTTTTTTCTGCCTCGGGATCTAGATCTCTGGGTTTCTCTCTGATGGAGGATTCGGAGTTGCGCCGTGGCGGCGGACGTCGTTCGCGCGGACGGTTCGGCTCTGGCGGATCTGCAAAAATGTCAAGCTCATGTGCAGCTCCAAGAGGTTTCCCTTGCTGTCGGCGACGTTCTTCTTCTGAATTGCTGGGCCTATGGCGCGGCGGAGGTCCGCGAGGGGGATACGGTCGAGGTGCGATATTTTCCCGTCTGGCGGCGCCGTTTACACGAGGCTGCGGTGGCTTTGCAGGTTCGCTTATATCGAGGCTTGCCTACTCTCTTGTCAGGAAGGGCAATCGGCAAAAAAAAACAGATCAACATACAAATATGTCGGCAGTCTTGTCGGCCATGTCAGGGCGCTTTACCCCCATTCCTGTGCCAGTTGTAGGTGTGGTGGCATTGTTGGGGGTGTCCGGAGACGAGATCTCATTGGAGTCGAGAAAGGGATTTGTCGAGATAGGTCTGGTGGAGGTCTTCTCTGAGACAAGATTGCGGAAGGGATTCTTGGACGCGAGAGAGGTCGGGCCGCGATCTGTGGAACGGGGATCAGTCATGTCGCTGACACCAACGGCAATTGAAATGGGGTAGAGTTGGCGCAGTTGCCAGGTGAGCAACAATAAATAGCAACATACGAGTAGAGAACAAAGGCAAAGAAAACAAAAAGCACAGTCAGGGAGCGCCGCGTGATCTTGACATACCAGCCAAAGGTGCAGCTTGAGCCATTGTCTCGAGATTCGTTCCGTTGTCAGATGCCGACTGCGCAGATGAGCATATGGCGGTCTGTCAGTGTCTTCAAGACACAAACGACCACAATTGACTGAGGACGAGGATGTAGGGTCGAAGGTAGTGAGTGCTCTGGCTTCTTGGAAGGAGACGGATTCCAAAGATAGTTAATGTGGTCTGGATGGCGGGCGTCTGGGCGACTCTTCACCGTTTCAGGAGAGACAATTACCGACTTGAATGCAGAACCCGAGAACCGTGTGTCGAGTGGCCAAGGGGCGCAGTAAGGGTAAAGCTGCGTGTTCGAGACGATACTGGAAATAGGATATGTTGGCAGTGATTTTGTGCAGTTCTGGAGATGCGAGACACTAGGATGGTAAGTTGGCTTAGTAGTTAAGTAGCAAAGGTGTGTGTTGTCGGGAAGAATTCTGAGAAGGGCCTCGAGGCGGTTTAGGGTCCGAACCCGGCAGGATACAGAAGGAGGGGTGGTGCAAGGAGTTTGGGAGTGTTGGTAGGGGGCCTCCGTGGGCTTGGGGCGCAGCCAGCTCGTCACTTTAGCCAAAACTACCGCTAAACTGGCCAAAATATCCACTCGCCACGCCAGCACTGGGCAACACTGCACTATCGACCCTCCCCAAAAGTTGGGGGAGGCGGCGAGCCGGTAGACCAAGAGAGGAGCGACTGACGCCACACCACGCTACAATGAAACAGACACTTCAGAATTCAGAGTTACGAGTTACTGATCAAGATCTGTCCATGGCATTCTTGTTGATGTATGTATGGCAAGTTTTCTCCGTCCGACTGACTGCGCCTGGATTCTTTACCTTCACTAGCTGTTGGGATCTTCACGGCCCCCTTGGTCAACAACGGTCGTCGCCCATTTGTTGGGTCAACAATGAGATCACGCCTTGTCGGTGGTGTCTGCGCTCTGGTGTACGCGGTACCCAGAGCCTAAGCTGACTGGGTGAATTGTGAGAGGGTCTTCGACCAGTCCAGCATCTTCGTCCTCCTTTGAACCCTGTCCCAAAGCCTCACTAGTCCTTGATCAGCCCTCCATCTCCAGGTCCGCTATTGAGCTACCAGCAAGCCAGCTTTGTACTGGCCTCAACCCACCCTCGACTTGCCCTCACATCCTGTCACTGAACGGCACTGGTTGCACGGCACAGATCACCAGCGTTGAACCCCTGTTCGAACTCAAATCTGACACGCATACCTTCCTCAACACCGCCGCGAACCATTTTTGCCTTGGTCCACCTCCAACACAAAAAAAACAACAAACCCCCGTTCTTTCAAGAGAACGAACGTTCGGGCCATCAAAGCCAGGGCTGAAATACTCATACTGGTTGTTTTAACACACCTCTGGTCTCGATCTTCCCGCTATAACCCTACGCCGAGCTACTGTTCAAGCAGGTCACAGGTGACAGAGTGGCCCACTTTCAGACCCGGTCTGTTTCAACTTTTGCATCGGCTCTGCCTGTAATTGCGCGCCCTCACAATTAATAAGATCTAAGCGCGTGGGCTATCGATAGAAGAATTACCAAGACAATGATGGCCAGCAAATTTTAAGGATTCTGCTGTCTGGATCATACCCAGCAATCACCACTGGCTAGCCTTGCTGATGCACAAGGAATTTTTGTTTTCGATAATACGCTTGGATTTCGACTGAAGGAGAAGGTTCATCGCTATGGACGCAGGAATTCCTCCAACCCCGCTGTCTCACCGTTTCACTCTCGAACTCGAATTCGTGCTATGCTTGTCGAATCCCCTCTACCTTCAATACCTGGCCTTAAATTTCCCTCATCTACTGAACAAGCCGACGACATCACCAAGTGTGACTGAATTGGACGACTCGGACGCGGCTCGATTCGCAAGGTACCTCAAGTATCTTTACAACTATTGGCGCACCCCTGAATACGCCAAATATCTCACTCATCCTGGAGCAACACTACGGAGCCTCGAATTGCTCCAGCAAGAACAGTTTCGAAAGGACATTATACGTCCAGACGTAATCGCGAAACTCTTCGAGACAGAGACTGGACTGCTAACTACTCCAGACAAAGCCGACGAAGGAGATCCGTCCACACAGCAAGTCTCTGGAGATTTTGGACATTAGCATCATTTAGATGCCACACTCCTCATGGTCACGAAGACTCTCATTGGCCATTTGCCTGAGGGAAGGCTCTCGATGATTACGAATAAAGGCCGGTCTCCCGAAGGTCCAAAAAGTCAGGAGATGTTTGTGCGATGAAGTGTTAAATGGCCTGTTTTTTCTGATACGCATACCGCCACAGGCCGAAACGCGGACCAAAACACGGAGGAGAACTTTATATCCTCTTCATATCAAGCGAGAGGCAGACGTCGGTCCATGCAACATTATCTGCGTTATGTCCACAGATATCATTCCCTGCGAGCGGAAGCTGGAAGAAGGGACCAGGATGGTTTGTTACTAATGCGACCAATCTCCAAAACGGGCAATTGAAAACATCCCATACTTGCGATCGTCCAGTTTATTTGTCGTGACATGTCAGCCCCTTATTTCAAAGCAACTATGGCAAAGCCTACGAGAACGGGAGCAATATGTGAATAGCCACCGAGAAAATGAAGAGATAAACGTGTCGACGCCGTTCACTGGACAGCTACTCAATTTGCCGGGGCTGGCAGAGAGATAGGGTTCAACTGCTGCACCATTCCGATCGCAGATATGGCGGGCTACGGAAGGCCGGTGGTTCGAGCCGTCTTCGACAATCCTCCCATCAATATTCTGGATCACAAAGTCTTCTCCGATTTGCAAGCGTTCTTGACTGGCCTCAAGAAAGACCCGAACCCGCCAAAGGTTGTAATTTTCTCTTCGGCCAATCCGAAATTCTTCTTCTCCCATTACGATCTCCATATCCTTAGCGGATCGTCACCTTTACCGCCGCCCCTTGATCCGGAAGAAGTTACTGGGAAGTTCGTCGAAAGTGCTCGCATGATGTCGAGTATGGGTGTGGTATTTATTGCGGAAATATCTGGACAGTCTTTGGGTGCCGGAAATGAAATATTGCTGCAAATGGACATGCGTTTTGCCGCTCCTGGGACCAAGCTTGGTAGTCTCGAAATAGGACTAGGCATGCTTCACGCTGGCGGAGGCAGCCAATATCTCACAAAACTCATTGGGCGTGGAAGGGCGCTGGAATACCTCCTGTCTGCAAACACGGTAGATGCAGAGACAGCCGAGCGCATCGGTTGGGTGAACAAATCATTTCCTTCCGTTGAAGAGATGACAACCTACGTCGATAAGCTTGCAGGTCGCATTGCTTCCTTCCCGGCCGCTGCACTGGCAGCCACAAAGGACTCTGTGAACGAGCAAGCGCCGTCGGAGGATGCGCCCAACAGAGACCTTGGCAGAATCACAGCCCTTGCCCAGACTTCAGAGGCACAGATGGCGTTGACCAAGTTCTTGGAGCTTGGAAACGATCAGCAGCCTGGACCGTGGGAAGATGGTCTCAATGACAACTTGCTGAGACTGTGGCAGTCATAAGTGATATGTGGGTCTGGTGATAGCCAGAGGCAGGTCAAGAATACTCCGGCGGCCGAAATCAATGGATGGATGAATTGACATATGCTCGCTGAAATTTGCAAATAAACAGGAACGACATGATTGGGATGCAAGGCACCAGCTAGGCCATGCAGGTACCATCACGCTTTGTCCGCTTTTGATGACGCCATTTGTTTTGAGCGCATCATTAAGGGACGCGGGCCAAAATTTAGGACCTTTGAAGATAATACAGAACCAGTAAATAGGAACCTGCAGGATCTGCTCGGTACATATACCGACCAGGCCTGCTAGCTGCGGTATTTGGAATTGTCTGCACCCACAAAGTTCTCAAAAGAACGATGTGCGCCTCTGCCAGCTCGGGAAGTGGGCGATGAAGTGCGCACCGCACCGGATAGAGTGAGAGCCGCGGTACGCCACACTGACACGACACTGGGGTAAAGCCCACCGGCCCAACCTCGCTGGCACCACTCCTCCCCCTCTGTTTCACAAGTCTGTTTACCGACTACGAGGTCTTGAAACACCCGCAACAAGACTCTCTACCTTTACGTCCCAGCGATCAATTTCTTTTTTCCATTCCCCCCTTCTACTGGAATCTGCAGCGCGATTCAGAACCTGGATTCCATTTCACTCCACGATCCGTCAACAAGACCTCAAGCGACGTTCTACCGCCACCATCTAACCACTCCGTCAATCCTGCCGTTGTTTTGCTGGACTGACAGCAATACCTGCTGGCGTTTCCAAGAACAACATATATCAATTGCCGAATCCTTGCTAGAACGAACGCCCTTGCGAAATACGACCGGTAAAGAGATCGCTGCTGAAGACGTTTGCTACACTCGAATAGCGGACTTCTCTCTGGGACGCAAGAGCAAGAGCAAGAGCAAGAGCGAGAGCAAGAGCAAGATAAAAATTCTGGCAACAAAGAAGGGCAGAGCATATACCCCGACATCGTCTCCAAGTTTTTGGCTTACACCCGCGGTCACGATTGCGCTGGCAGCTTCGAGGCGACATGGTGTCCACGAGACATCACCCCAGACCCTTCCCCGAGCCAGCAACACCCAGTGCAGCAACCCGATCCAATGCCTCTGACTCACCCTCCAAATCTCCCTCGCCTCTCCATTCGGATGACTCAGTCACCGTTTCGTCTTCGGCTTCTCGAAAGCGCCGATCAATTCGATCCTTCAATGCAAAGTTGTCAACCTCATCGACCCACCTTTACTCGCATACGGTACCACCCCTGCTGTTGATCTGGCTGTTCGTCTCCCTTCCCCTGGTCATATGGGATACGGGGTATATCGCACTTCGCCCACACTCGATGCCTGGGGGAAAATTCCACACTCCCGTTTGGTCGCTTTATGCTCTGTATGGTACGGTGGATTATGTATATGGCTGGCCGGCGTGGGACGGCCATGTGGGCTTCACAGCGGCACAGGCTTCATTGAACGTCATTGAGACAGTCATGTACGTCTACTACCTGAGCACAGTATTGAGCAACGGTGCAGAAGGCCTCCTGAATTGTCGTACCCTATGGGGATTTTTTCTGGGTGAGATGGACAAGTCAGTCAGTGGGCCCGGTGTGGCTACGGCTGTCCTCGTCCTGTTCTCTGCCGCTGTGATGACTCTCAGCAAGACAATCCTGTACTGTACGTGACACCTATTAGCTCTTCTCATGGCTCAATTTGAGATGACCTTATGTGAGCGGAGACATTGATGCTGACATCTGGACCAAACAGGGCTCAACGAATATTTCTCGAATTTTGCCAACATTGGCCACAACTCTATGTATAACCTTGTTTTCTTGTGGATCATCCCCAACGGTCTCTGGCTGATTTTCCCGGCCTACATGATATATGTGCTCGGAAAGGAGATGGTGGCTGGGATGGAGGGCACTCGAGCAAAAAAGGAAGAGTGACAGGAGGCTAGTGGAGGGGCGGTCAATAGAGAGAGGGTGGTATCTGATGATGGAGACTACTTCCGACGTTTTCATGCTTTGCTCGGTCCTCTCGATTGCCGAAGCCACGAGGTCTCTGAAGCTGTGGCCGAGAGAGTATAGGTAGGGTCCTGCTGCTGCTGAGGGGCGGGGGATGACCAAGAGATGCCAGAAAAGCCAAGAAGGTGCGGAGTGCCGGAATTGGGCCTCTCTATTAGCCTGATGGCAGCCGTTTCCTGTCATGCTGGGAAGACATCCCAATGACCGGAGATGTGTTTGTGCAACATGCTTGGGTTACAACCGTGGATGAATGGGCTTGCGGGTTCTTGTCCGGGAATATCAACGAGGAACCCGGCAGCGGCAGCCACCAGGTCGGAAGGGAGCCTAGGAACCTGGAGTCTTGGGCTCACAAGATTCCCTGGGGAGTTACACCGGGGTTTGCGCTATTTGCAGGAGACGGCAGCATTGCCACTCGGCCCTTGTACAAGATGCACTGGATGAATGGGCCGGGAAGACGTCTCGTAGGGATGCATTGTCCTGCCGAAGCGAGCACTGTGTTGTGGAGAGGGAGTACCGGGAGTGGGTGCCTAGATATGTCGTGAGAAAACAACAGCATCTGGAGCCGATGAATACATACCTACTTGTATGTAAGGTAGCAAGGGGACAAGAGGTGACGCCCGGCGGCGCACCGACAGGGCCGCATTGCAGGGAGTGGCAGATTACAGAATAATGTGATTCGACAGAGGGTTACAATTGGCAGCCTAGGCCGCACACATTCCAGCGATGCGTAAGTCCGGATGGAATGGCTTCCCCAGAAAGGACAACCAGAGCAAATAGGATAAACATCGGCCATTAAGCGGATACAATGGAGCCATGATTTGCGGGGAGCTTGAAGCCCATCGCAGCCACATCTCATCTCCGGTGCTGCTCACCTTTCAAAAAGAGCGGAGGATGCGAGGATCTGCAACGCCATCATGGCCCGGTGTCCATCTGATGCATTGAAATTTTCAATTCGGATTACGGAGTCCCAGTCCCAGTCCCATTCACCAAGCTACCCAGACGGTTGAAGCAAAGGCTCAGAGCTCAATCACTCTCTACTGCGGGGTCCAGCGTCACCGACATGACCTATTGAGACGCCCGTGGTCCATCCGCCGACTGTCTTCAACCACTCTCTTTCCTTGCTTCGCCCTTGTCGTGACATGGGGAATGCAACATCGCCCTCATCCACATGCCGCTTCAGGCACCGGCAATACATCCCTCAAAGTCACAGTATGGATCGCCTGCAGGATCGCGTCCAGGATCGCCACTTGTTTGTGCAGCTTCTCCATCACAAGGCCCTTCCCACCCGCTACCAGACAAGGCCACCGCATGCTATGCCACGGGCATCCCAGGCCCGGTCCATGCTCTTTCCTTTGCTCCTTCCTCATTCATGAGCTCCCTCCAGCCCCGTCAGCTCCTTGCTTCCTCAGCTCGCCGACACCCACCACCACCAGGGTCCCCATGGAGCTGTGTGACTCCCGGCGCAAGAGGAGGGAACAAGAAAACAAGACACTCTAGAATGACATCTACACTGACATAACCCATACCATCTAGAACCTGGGCGCTCAATATTCAAATACCACCGAACTTCTTCGATTGTCCACTCATTATTCACTCTTTCTTCCTGTCACCCGCAACTCGTCTCTTCTCCCGCGGTGTGCTCCCTACTCGACCATTTCGGCCCTCTGCTCTATCGATCTACGACTGCCCGGTCCCGGACCATCAGTTCGTATCGTCCCCTTGGCTGAGCCCAACAGGACCGCCTACAGAGTTCCGACTGGTTGTCGTCAACACGAGCTTCCGAGAATCAGCCTAATAAACCCCTGGTGCCCTGGCAAGATGTGGCTTACGGAGACGGTTGTGGCGGCACTGGTAGCGTTGCCTTATCTGCATCAGATTCAAGCCAGCGTAAGTGCACGATGCTTTCCGCGCCCCTTATATGCCCTCATTAAGCCCAACCATTCCCGGACAAATGGGCTCTATTTCCTTGTCAAATTGTCAGATTCACGGCCCCTGGACCTCGGGGTCTGTCAAAAGGGAAAAACAAAAAAAAAAACCCCCGCTCCCCAAAATCCAAAATTATGCCATGATGCTCCAACTCATTTCTGCTCTCCTCTTTGTTAATGCTTCTGTACAACTATCAGACTACTCACAAGCTGTCTTAAAGCCTGTTGAATCTGCAGATGCCGTCTTCAAGCGGCAAGCTGCTCAACCATACAATAATGACTACACTGGACCCATTTGGACGTCGCCTCCAAAATATCCATCCCCATGGGGTGCTGGTACGGGAGATTGGGCTGCCGCGTACGAAAAGGCTCGCGCCTTCGTCAGCGGCTTGACTTTAATGGAGAAAGTCAACCTCACAACCGGTGTTGGGTGAGTTTCTGCGAACGTGATGTCGGATCCTGCGACTGATTCTGGGTCAAGCTGGGAATCTGATCGATGTGTGGGAAATTCTGGCTCCATTCCTCGTCTGGGCTTCGAGCCCCTTTGCTTGCAGGATGGCCCACTGGGCATTCGTTTCGGTACGTTAGAATAAGGACGCTCGTATGATTATGGTTATTGATAGAAGAACAGCCGATTATGTCTCTGCTTTCCCCGCTGGCCTGAATGTGGCTGCTACGTGGAGCCGTGACCTTGCGAGAGCTCGAGGGGAAGCCATGGGAGCTGAGAACAGAGGCAAAGGTGTCGATGTGCAACTCGGTCCCGTCTGTGGCCCACTCGGCCGTGCTCCTGAAGGTGGCCGAAACTGGGTAAGAAAGTCTCTTAGCAGACCAGAGCCGGCAAGTTGACCAGCGGTAGGAGGGTTTTAGTCCCGATCCGTATCTCACCGGAGCTTTGATCGCTCCCACTATCCAAGGCATCCAAAGCCAAGGGGTTATGGCATGTACAAAGCACTTCATTGGAAATGAACAGGAACACTTCCGCCAGGTCGGGGAATCTATTGGCTACGGATACAACATCACCGCCACCCTCAGCTCCAATATTGATGACAAGACCATCCACGAACTCTACCTTTGGCCTTTCGCCGATGCCGTTCGAGCGGGTACAGCTTCAGGTAGGCGCACGAAAAAGGGGCAACCAAGAATGTAGGCTAACTTTTTCCAAGTCATGTGCTCTTATCAGCAGGTGAACAACTCTTACGCCTGTGCCAACTCTTACACAATGAATCATCTTCTCAAGGGCGAGCTCGGATTCCAAGGCTTCGTCATGTCAGACTGGCAAGCTCAACACTCTGGAGTTGGTACAGCCTTGGCTGGACTCGACATGTCTATGCCTGGTGACACACTGTTCAACACCGGATATACCTACTGGGGCACCAATCTCACTATTGCTGTAATTAATGGCACCATTCCTGAATGGCGACTGGATGACATGGCCACGAGAATCATGGCGGGGTACTACTACGTTGGTCGTGACACTGCCAGAGTTCCGACCAACTTCTACGCATGGAGCCAGAATACGTACGGACACGCTTCTGCCGCAGATCCTAATTCCCCTTTGGTCATCGTCAACGAACACCTGAATGTCCAGGACGAGCATCGCAATATCATCAGACAAGTTGGTCAGGCCTCAACTGTCCTTTTGAAGAACAACGGTGGCCTTCCACTCACGGGCCAAGAGAGACAAGTCGCGGTCGTTGGCTATGATGCTTGTAGCAACCCTTGGGGGCCCAATGGGTGTCCAAATCGGCAATGCAACAATGGAACATTGGCTATGGGTTACGGCAGCGGTACTTGCGAATTCCCATATTTGGTGACACCAGAACAAGCTATCCAGCAGTATATTCTTACGAATACGGATTCGGAGGTGTCGACTATTTGCGACAACTACGCAGACTCTCAGATGCAGACCCTAGTGACGCAATCAGATGTTGCCATTGTTTTTGCGAACGCCCAATCTGGTGAAGGATTCATAACCATTGACGGCAATACCGGCGATCGCAACAATTTGTCCCTCTGGGAAGGTGCGGACCGATTGATCAACAATGTGACCAAGTATAGCAACAACACTATTGTAGTCATGCACACTGTGGGCGCTGTCAATGTTTCTGCATGGTACGACAACCCGAACGTCACGGCTATCCTATGGGCGGGCTTGCCCGGTCAGGAAAGTGGTAATGCTCTGGTAGACATCCTCTATGGTCTCGTCAATCCCGGTGGGAAACTGCCCTTCAGCATTGCGCGGAACCGGGAAGACTATGGCACGGATGTTCTCTATGAACCCAACAATGGACAGTTTGATGCCCCACAAGTCCTTTTCTCCGAGGGCGTGTTCATCGACTATCGGCACCTCGATGCGGCTGGCATCGAGCCTATCTATGAGTTTGGGTTCGGCCTCAGCTACACCACTTTTGAATATTCCAACTTGGTGATCACTCCCGGAAACCCAGCACCATATATTCCCGCCGGTGGATTGACAGGACCAGCCCCAGTTCTGGGTAACTCGTCCACGGATCCGTCACTGTACCTCTTCCCCAATGCCAGCATTCCTTATCGTTACTACGAGTTCATCTACCCGTACCTCAACACGACCGACCTCGAAGCCGCGTCCGCCGATCCTGATTATGGCCTGCCAACGGATCAGTATGTTCCGGCTGGTGCCACCGATGGTTCACCGCAGCCTGTCCAGCCTGCTGGAGGGGGGGTTGGTGGCAACCCTCTCCTCTATGAAGTTGTCGCGACGGTGACCGCAACAATTACCAACACAGGAAATGTTGTTGGTGATGAGGTCGTGCAATTATATGTTTGGCTCGGGGAAGGAGAACCACCAAAAGTTCTTCGTGGGTTTGATCGCCTGACAATTGCACCTGGCGAGTCAGCGACGTTTACTGCCGAGCTCACTCGCCGTGATGTATCGGTCTGGGATACCACTATTCAGAACTGGGTAGAGGTCAGCAACCCAACCATTTATGTCGGCGCTTCGAGCAGAAATCTCCCGCTATCGGGTACCCTTGCAAACGGCGGTTCCCCACCTTCTGGTCCCAGTGGAGGAAGTTTCACGCTTCCAGTTGGCCCATCTTCTAGCTATGGCACTCCTACATACTCCTGGAGCTCAGGATATGGACATCCCACAGGCCCGCCGGTTTCTCAAATCTCCGACGGACAACCCGAAGTCATTAGTCAGATTTCGGACGGCCAGCCTCAATGGGGTGCACCCGTTACGCAAATCTCGGACGGCCAACCTCAAGCCACGACGGCATGACCGGACGACCCGGGTTTGTGGGGAGGTGGGAGATATAATGTGATATATGACTCTGCTCAGCAAAAGCCAATAAAACCTGATGTGACGTATTGAGTTTGATAGTCGTCAACATGAACATACACAAGTAGATGAGATTGCTGCAGAGAGCGACTCGAGGTGTATTCAGCTAGCATGCCTCGTACCGTGAGGCGGTGAAGGAGATAAAAGCAGAGATTGCACACAGACGAACCCAAGAAAACGGTAAAGGTCATTCGCAAAATGAGACTGACAAAAACCCACTAGTTTTGATCCTTTCTATCTTCTCATTGGGCTCGCCATGCGATTTGTTGGATTTGGTCCAAATGCATAGCGAGATAGGCCCACTGGTGCCTCGGCGGGATCCAAGAAAGTCATGGCGTCATGGACAATATGTTGAAAGTGTCAAATACCGACACACGGTGCTCTATACCATGTCGCCCATCTTGTAGTTAAATAACTTGGCCAGCTTAGCTTGGGAGGTGGCTCGCACTCATCCAGTTGCTTCATCCCGTTGGATTCTCATGTTGATTGACTAGCTCGTTGCTTCGGGCTAACCTGACCTGGCCTCAGTGGCGAAGGGAACCGACTTTTGGAAAGGGGATTCAGCCTTGTCTTTGCAGCCTTGTTATCGAGCGATCCCGGATCGCCATCATCAACAAGGAACCGGACGCTTAGGTGTTGCTACAGTACACGACACCGTGTACCTGGGTATTTATTAATACTCCATACGCCGACATTCTTTCACGCTACACCCCCAAGCACCTCCATCCGTCCTGTTGAACTCCACCAATATGCCCGCGACATTCAGGAAGGCAAGTCGTAATCCAATGCAAGGCCCGCGCGTCCTGTACTGGTTCCGCACAGACCTGCGGCTCCACGATTCGCCAGCCCTCACGCATGCCTTGTCCCTCAACCCCTCCGCCCTGATGCCGCTATGGACGTGGGATCCTCACTACGTCTACCGCCAGCGCGGGGCAGCGAACCGATGGCGCTTCCTCGTCGAATGCATGGGTGATTTGTCACAAAGCCTGACCGAATTGAACGACAAGCAGAAACTGTTCGTAGTCCGCAGCAGCGCCGGGCCTCCTAAAACCATCGGGATGCTCCTGCGCAAGTGGAAGATCGACGTGCTGGTCTTCGAGAAGGACACGGACGCCTATGCGAGGATGAGGGACGACGAGGTCTCCAAAATCGCGCGGGGTCTCGGCGTGCAGGTGGTGAGCGTGAGTGGGCGGACATTGTTTGATTCCGAGGAAGTCGTCAAGATGAACGGCGGCAAGCCAACAATGACCATGGCCCAATTGGTCAAGGCCGTAGCGAAAATCGGCCAAGGTGTCCCCGCGAAGCCTCTTGAGAGGCCGACCAGCTTTCCCGATCCCTTAGATGAGCGGGAGATAGATCTATCGGATATAGAGCATGAATTCTCGGGGGACGGGGAGAGGCGGGATCAAGCGTCGCTGCTTGGATGGCCGGTTGTTGACGACATGGACTACAATGCCGTCCAGAGGACACTGGGCGCGGAGAAAGACACGCAGTATGCCTCGGGGCTGATGGGCCCCGGCCGCGACTTCTCGATTCCGACCCTAGAAGAAATGGGCATCGACCCATCGTCGGTGACGACGCCGCACAAGGGTGGTGAAACAGCCGGCCTGGCACTCCTCGCAGGCCACGTTGCTGATGAAGAGTACATATCTACGTTCGAGAAGCCTGCAACAGCCCCGACTGCATTCGAACCACCTGCCACGACGTTGCTAAGTCCACACATGCATTTCGGGACGGTCTCGTGTCGAAAGTTCTGGTGGGACGTGCAGGCTGTGCTGGAGAAGAGACGCAAGGAGAAGAAACGCGTCAGTGATCAACCTGTTAATATCCCGGGACAACTCCTCTTTCGCGACATGTATTTCGCAGCCCACGCGCAGGTTGGAGTTCCCTTCGGCCAGACGGTGGGCAACCCCGTCGCGAGATTTATCCCCTGGCATTTGCAGTCGAGATACTTTGTTGGCGACGACGGAAAGCCCGTTACCGACGGCGCCTACGTCGTCGACGACGCCCAAGCTGAAGAATACTTCCAGCGATGGAAATACGGGCGCACGGGGTTTCCCTGGATCGACGCCCTGATGCGACAACTGAAGCAGGAAGGCTGGATCCACCACCTCGGCCGCCACGCCGTGGCGTGTTTTCTGACGAGAGGAGGCTGTTACGTGTCGTGGGAGCGCGGTGCCGAGGTTTTTGAGGAGTGGCTCGTCGACCACGAAGTCGCGTGCAACGCCGGGAACTGGATGTGGCTGTCGTGCACGGCGTTCTTCAGCCAGTTCTTCCGGTGTTATTCTCCCGTGAGTTTCCCCAAGAAGTGGGACCCCGACGGCTTGTTTGTGAAGAGGTATATTCCCGAGTTGGACATGTTTGACAAGAAATATATCTACGAGCCACATAAAGCACCGATCGCGGATCAGAAGCGCTGGGGGTGTTTGGTAAAGGGCGATGGAAGAAGCGCCGCCGGGACGGAACAAGACGGGGGGAAGAAGTACAACCTGTATCCGAAGCCCATGTTTGACTTCAATGAGAGGAGGCAGTTTTGCCTGGATCGGATGAAGCAGGCTTATGATGTGGGTCTATTTGGTGATGATCAGAGGGTCATTAACGGGGAATGGAAAGGGCTGTTTGGTTTCAACGACGCTGGTGGTGCGTTGAAGGAGGAGGCGAATGGTGGGGTAGGAAGCGGTGATAAACGGGCAAGAGACGACGATGGTGCTGATAGACGACATGATGATGATATCAGAGAAGACGTCGGCGTTAATGATGAGAGTCAAGATGGCCGCCGTCTTCGGACGAAGAGGAAGGCCGCGAAGCGAGAGACCGGGAAGGAAGATAAGCAGCAGCAGGGAACCCTAGACGCGGTACTAACTCGGAAGAAGATGTAGCGAGGAAGTTTTGACGCTGCATAGTTTCTCGACCACGTATATTTGCTGATGCCCTTATGGTCTTGGATACTATCGAGCCACACCAACAACAACGGTAAGGAGCGATGGCACCGCCTACAAAATTCCCGCGAAAGTCCTTCGGATTTGATGTGGAGTGAGTGCTCTGAAACTACCCTTCTGGACAACTGAGTTTCCAGGATGCTCATCAGGAGCAGGTCCCTTGAAGAGAGGCCGGTGACGCTCTGGTCGAGCTCGCCAGAAAAGCGGACCCAGAGGTCTGCAATAATAGACAAGTGTTTCGCAATCTTCAAAATGAGTGTAGGACGTAAATCACAGGTTTCCTAAAGGTTCGGCCGAACTTCTGGCCCTTTGACCGCGATCTTGTGGAAGTTGATCAGCACCATCGACCATCCGGTGGGACGGCCGTCGACGACGTTCAGCGCGCGGCGCAGCGTAGGGAAGACAATGCCGTCCACAGTCTTCTCGTCGTAGACATAGTGTGCCACGGTGCCAGATCCCTGGATGACGTCGACCGTGTAGTCGAGCCGCCTCATCCGGTACTGATGGTCGTAGTAGAACTTTTGCACTCGGCAGTGCGTGGCGAAGTCCTCAGGATATGTCACCTCCAGGACACGCCACGTCTCCCCGCCGCTCCCGCTGCCGCCGCCGCCTTCGGTGTGCTCGCCTAGTTCCCGCGTCGACATCCCCGGCCAGGCAAAGCAGAAAGGTGTCACCATGTAGTTCCAGACCGCGTAGCCCGAGAAATACAGGAGATCCAAGTCGTCCCACGGGGTAGCCAGGACGTGGCCTTCAAAGTGCTTGGACGGGTCGCCGCGGGAGAGGACGACAGTGCCATTGGCTCGCTCAACAGACAGGTACTTCGGCGTCCAGATCCATCGGAGATGTGGCTCGTCCAGGTGAGCGCCGAAGTTGTAGAAGACGACCCGGGGCTTTTTGGTGTCCACGTAGCCTGTCATCAGGCGACGCTTCGGGTAGCCCTTTTTCGGCCAGAAGGCGCCCGAAACATCGACAACAACCTCGATCCATTCGACCTGTTCGAAGCGGTCCATGCCACCAGCGGCATCGAGCACCGCGTTCAACAGGTCCGGTCTGCAGAAGAGTCAACTGGGGCCTCACTCTAGCTTTTCAGGAGGTAGAGCGTACCTTTCAGGTTTCGATTGAGCCATTGTCAGGGTCCCAAGGATATTTTCTTGAAGAGAAAGCAAAACAGATGCAGGAGGAGCTTCAGTTGTGTGAGCTCCGCTGGGGTCTGCTTGTCCGTGGACCACGACATCTATACTTCGCTTTCTGATAGAAATGAAACACCCGGATTACTCAACGATGGAGGTGCTCTTTGCTGTGCTCAGCCTAATCGAGGCTTCCAACGCGCATGGATGCCGAGGATATCCATCTCTAACGAAACGAAAGTATGAAATGGCGTTCTTTGAATCGAGATCGGCTGACAATAGCTCGAAAGAACTGCTAGGGGCTGTGGCAGTTGACATGCGAGCTGGTATATCGAGTCTCCTCTCAGATTGTCCAAAACGGTATCCGTTGAATAGTAATCGTAAATGCTATCTCTTCAAGGCGTCCAAGTCGTCAACCAAAGGCGAGGGCGTGCCGAAGACTGGGAGCTGTCGCAAGCCGAGCTGTTGTTCAGTCATGTTCTCGAGACTTTGAGGCCCCCCAGTACTGAAAAGCAATGCAGAGGTTTGTTTACTCAACAGCGAGGAGGAGGCCAAGACTGACGGCGCAAGTGAGGACCAATGCACCTAGGCATAATCGAATCTGCCAAGAGAGGGGAGGGATGTGGTCGTTAACGTACCCATAGGCATGGATGTCTTGCAAAGGTGGAAGCTAGGAGCAAATCCCTCGGAAGTGAATCTTTTTAACGACAATATTTTCTTGCTGTGGGAATGAAGCGTGCATGGTGTTGTCCGTGATATTTCGGGATTTCTCAGCCTTGCCCCTGAAGCGACACCTTGTCAATTGCTCCCGGACATTCTTCACTCGATACCTTTCTAGCCGACCAAATATATCAGAGCACATTGCCATGGTAATCGGGGGCACGAACCACGAGACAGCTGGAACCTACCGAGCTGGCCGACCATCCATGACCACGACCTCCAGCGAAACAGGTCAACCGCAAAAGGAGGCCAACAAATTTCTCAGATCATCCTATTCAGTTTTCCATCAATGCTGACATATATCCAAGCAGAGCCGAATGGGATTCAATTGCTGTCTCGCTGAAGAGGCTGAGAAATACCGCAAGCGTGGTCGGTCTGCCTGTGATGGTCTCGAGGCATGTGGTTGACATCTAGGCGATTGCAAGAACAAAGAAATGAGATATCTCCTGCACGGCATTGGGATCCGAAACTCCAAGTCTGGCGAGGTCTCCGTAAATCCACCAAAGCCACCGGCGCAAACTTGGTTCATTGGAGCAGAAGAAGCCTAAAAAGGCAAAGACAGCCGGTTGTTCGTTGTATCGTTATCGTCTAGGAGTCGAAATGGAGATGTCCGTGCGGAGACGCCTCAATGCCTCCACAAGAGGACGGGACAACCATAACCATCATCCTATGTTCCAATATCCGGTTGCAAATCTTCTACAGAACCCGTTGCATACAATCCACCAGCATCCTTGTCACACAGGTAAGGGAAACACATTGAACCAGAAAAAACATCAACCATGCCAGCCCTCTCTGATGACCTCGTTGCCGCCATCAAGAAGTCCGTCTCTGACGGCTTCGACCAACAACTTGCCTACACGCAGAAATTGATCCGCTTCGGGGGCCAGCGTGGCCAGGAGACCGAGGTCCAGAACTTCATCTTTCAGCAGTTTGCAGATCGCGGCTATGACCCGGTCAAATTCGACATGGACGAGCAAGCTCTCTCACAGCATGTCGGCGCTGGCAGGTTCAGTAGCACGCATTCGCGCGCCCCGATTGTCGTGGGCACGCACAAGCCAAAAGTGCAACATGCCGAGGGGAAGAGTCTCATCTTGAACGGGCATATTGACGTCGTCCCTCTGGGACCGGTTGATATGTGGAATGACGACCCATATAGTGCCCGCATCGAAGGAGACAAGCTTTACGGAAGAGGGTCAGGCGACATGAGAAGCGGCTGTGCTGCGAATCTATGGGCTCTTGATGCGCTCAAACGGTGTGGACTCCAGCCAGCCTCCGAGGTGATACTGCAGTCCGTCGTGGAGGAGGAGTCAACTGGCAACGGCACACTGATGACACACTTAAAAGGTTACAAGGCGGATGCTGTCCTCATCCCCGAACCAGTGCAGGAACAACTTGTGCGGGCAAATGTGGGTGTCTTGTGGTTTCAGATCGAGGTTCGTGGTAGGCCAGTCCATGTAAGGGCTATGGGAACGGGAGTCAACGCTGTCGACGCATGCTGGAAAGTAGTGGGAGCCTTGAGAGAATTGGAAGCTGATTGGAATGAGCGCCATGTCGGCGCGCAATATTTCGAAAACGAGAAGCACCCTCTAAGTATGACCCCCTTGAGCCCCAGTGCGGACAATTCAGACGCAGTGGTTGCAGAAGCGGCTAACTTTGAATCCTTGAACAGACTTGAACGTCGCAATCGTGAATGCTGGAGACTGGGCGAGTTCCGTCCCTGCCTGGTGCCGGATAGATTGTCGGATAGCAATCGTACCTGGTGTCAGTGCTAAATCCGCTGCAGACGAGATCGAGAAGAAGGTGGCGGATTTCGCTCGCAATGACCCGTACCTCAGCGCAAACCCGCCAAAGGTGATCTGGAACGGGTTCTACTCGGAAGGTTATGTGCTTGAGCCCGGGAGCGAGGCTGAGAATGTGCTACGCCAGGCACACAAGCAGGCGACTGGCAAGGAATTGACATACCAGACATCGACCGCCTACCTTGATGCCCGCGTTCACAGTCTGTATGACAAAATTCCCGCGCTGGTTTATGGCCCTATCAGCGGGGATATTCATGGCTTTGATGAATGGGTGAGCATCGAGAGTATCAAGAGAGTGACGATCGCAATGGCTCTATTTATCGCAGAATGGTGTGGAGTAGAGAAGATATAATCGCTGCACGACCCGTTTGATCCTTGTCACTTCCTTTGGCAACGTTCGCGTTTGTTTTGAACTTCACCTAGCTTCTAGGACAGTATTGTCTTGCTTCATACTCCTCTATCAGGGGCAAGCATCGGGAACAGGTAAGTTTTCGACTATCCATTTTCGACCTCCAGTTGGTGACAGACTTGGCAAACTCGCCAAGACCGTTGTATTTCTTGGCATATTTACTTTACTGTGAGGCTGCAGTCACATCAGCGATTCAGTCTCCCTTCGATAATCACTTCCGACAACGCTCCACAATTCCTTTTGTTTTGCTCACCTTTCCATCATGGCGTCCTTGAAGGCGCGTGTGGAGGAAGTTATACGAAGCGATACTCTCAAAAACGGGTTACTTGAGGTATCTCACTAGTGACGTTGGTTTTAGCCGCCACTAACTCGTGGTAGGAGATGTTAGCAGACATCGAACAACTTACACAGCAACGTGATGCCGCGAGGAATGAGCTTGAGATGGCTCGAGACACTGCTCGCACCTACTATCAAAAGATGGTCCAAGCAGAGTCGGAGAAGTCTCTAATAAAGACATCTATGGTGGCGAAGAGGATCCCACCCCCCTTTCTTTTGCAGAGCTGACATTTTCTCCAGGAGGAGTGCGATAGGTTCATCCTTGTGTTGGTTGATGGCGACAGTATGCCGGTATGGTTGAGTGAAAGCTATATCCGTCACTATGTGAGACCTGAACCACCTGTTATGACTGACACTACTAGTTCCTTGATGAATTTGTTTCCAGAGGCGCGGAAGGTGGAGAAGAGGCAGGCAAACACCTTCGAGCCGCAATCTTGGAATACTACAAGACCAATACCAGATACCATGCTGATGACCGGGTCATCATTCGCGTCTATGCAAACTCTCATGGTCTGAGCAGAACTTATAAAGCAGCTAAAATCATCGCCGACGAGGCCATCTTTGACCAATTCATGGTTGGATTCAACAGAAGTCACCCACTCTCAGACTACGTCGACGCAGGCAGCCACAAGGAGGCCGCTGACTCTAAAATGAAAGGTGCGTCAGATCCCTGGCTAATGCTACTGTAGATTGATTTGACTTCCCCAAGCAAACCTCGAGCTCTTCTATCGCAACTATCATTGTCAACACATCATCTTCGGTGGTTCTGCAGACAGCAGCTACGCTGGCTTTCTTGGTCCGTACGCACTCCCAAACACGCTCAACGATCGCATCACGCTCCTTGAGGGCCCACCCTTCCCATTCGACTTCAAGAAAGTCGCCCAAGGATTCCAACAAATATCCTTCAAGACGATCTTTCGGTCAACCAAGATTCAAATCGCTCCGAATGGTACGATATCAGTCACCGCTGGTGTCAAGAGACCTGCACCTGATACATTGTCAGCAGTGCGAGATCGCCCATCGCCGCGGCCTGTGACTACCGCTTTGACACCTCCCACGACCAAGCTTGCTTTAACTACGCAGCAGCCTGCGGCACCGCCGATTGTTCCTTCGCCGATTATTTACCAGAACCAATATGGGCAGCGACTGGATATACCGCTCAAAATCGACAAGCAGTATCTCCAGTACCTCTATGACTTCAATTCACGTCTCTGCAACAATTACTACCTGAAAGGTCACTGCCCATACGGCGCGAATTGTGAGTGGGATCATTCACAAGTCCTCAACCAAGTCCAGCTCGATACCTTTCGATATAAAGCTCGAACATCCGCCTGCCGAAATGCATTCTGTCAGGATCCTCAATGTCCGCTTGGCCATATGTGTCCGCGCAATGGGGCATGCCACATCCCTGCGTGCAAATTTCTTCCGGAGATGCATAACATAGATGTTAGCCAAGTTTACGAATACAACACTGCAACCCACGAGAGGAAGAGGGTGTCATTGCCTGTCTAGGAGGACACGCAACAAAAAAGTTGGTGTCCTCCTCAGTCCTGGAGACGCACTCTTCCTCGGCGGCACATGCCCTCCTATATGTTCTTGGATCGAGATGAGGAGAAATCGTCGAAATTGTCGGTGTGCCTGACTCCCTGAATTGCGACCAACGAGCCTCTAGACTTGACCAAACGACGGCGCAAAAGCACACCGCTGGTGCTTATCTGGACCTCATTTGAGTTAAGGGCTTCCTTGATCATCCCTTCCGACAGAAGGTCGTCGTACATTTCTTTACTTGCGCGATAAGATACCCCTTCTGCATTGCTGCTTTCCTTTCAGCTTGCTGACACATTTTTGCCATGAGCAAAGCTTTCCACCAATAACTAGAACCCGTCTCCTGCAATATGCGGCCCTTGCCTGCTACGCAGTGTGCCTCAAAACACGATCTGAGAATATGTGAGACACTCGCACAGAGCAGACATACGTCCACCATGGCTTGCCACGTGTTATAACAATAAAACACTCTTGCAATAAGACATTTTTCCCTCTCAGTTCTCTTCTCGCAATTCCACATGATCCGTGTAAATGTTCTTCGACGCTTCGCCCGTATCATGCGAGGTGTCTCCAGAGCCATTATCGCTCCAAATGCCATGGTTATACCCGCTGCAATTCCCGATTAATGATGTACTGTCGCGATAGATGTGCGCGATGTTTGAACGAGTTAGCGGGTATTGTAGCGGATGATCTGGCTCTCTGGTTTTGGGGGGTCGGGCTTCATCGATAGCATCCCTCGCGAGTTAGTTGCTGCAAGAGATGTGTCTGTTTACTTCTTCACTTCCTGCAGCAACGGGCTCACTCTTTCACGATAGCCATGCTCTTCCTCAATTCTCTTTCTCTCTGTTTGCTCTGCAGCTCCAGTCGCTCAATCGCATATTGCAGTCTCTCTTTCTTCTGCTGCAGACGTTTCATTTCCAACATTCTGGCATCGCTCAAAGGCGGCCCAGGCTGCCCTGAATTAGTGTTCCGGAAAGGCCGAGCACCATTATTACCACCGAAACTCGAAGTCCTTCTCCTGTTATTGTTCAGTCTCCCCTCAAGCAATTCAGATCTCGCTTTGAGACTCTCTTCCCTTCTTCCTAATTGATTGATGTAGTTGTCCGCCGTGGACAATAGTTGGTTAATAGCTGGCACAATCTCGTCGACCAACGACTGCTGAGCTTCACGAAGCGTTGGTTCGGGAAGGAGTTCAAAGTGCTGTTGCGTTTGTAGAACTTTGCAGAGGCGAGGGAAGTCGGAGACGCTTTCGTCGAGTATTGAGATACTAGATTCGAGGAGGGAGATGGAAGAGCGCAGGGAGGAGACAGCCGAGCCTAGAGTGGCCATCTTCAATGAATATTGCTGGGTCACATTCAATTTGATCTTGTTCACTTTGCCATCGGTAAACAACCCCGCCCAAGCCTGCCGCAACACGGACGCGTTGAGATTCATCCAAGCAAGAGCAAACTTACCAAAAGTGCCAAGGATTTACAAATCAGGTTTAGCTCAGATCAAGCTTGAGAACCTCCAAGTTTCTCCGGAAGCTCATTGACGATAGAACTTCCTTCACGCAACCCAGCCATTATCTCAAACACCCTCCTGTCAAAATGCCCGGTTTTATTCCCAAGAAGTTCCCCGGCAAAGTTGGTACGTCGTGCTGCGATCGTCTTCTCTCAAACCTGGAAGCACTAACCTCTGTAATTCACAGCTGAGCCGATGGTACCTTTCTACGCTGCTGGTCTTATTGTCCTGTATGCCATCAACGCTGGTGCAAATGCCATGATGAACTGTAAGCTTCATTTCCTCTTCTACCTCCCATTACTGGATTCCCGTCGATAGAAGGCACGCGGTTCCGACGCAGGGGGGCTAACGAATTTTGGATGAATAGCGGAAGAGTACAAGAACGATCCTCGAAACCCTAATGCAAAGCCTGAGGCAAACGCTGCGCACTAAAAACGACGATCAAGGAGGTCAAGATGCTGGGTGCAAGGTGTCAGAGGCTACGGGCATGGAATCGGCGACGAAAAGCTGCGAGTGGGGCGATTGTACATACAACAATTACAAGCATAGACACGGGCGGGAAAAAGGGATGAAACCGCAAAGAATTCATCGCGCTTGACGCTCACCTGGAAAGCCATTACTATTTGATCTTCAAGCCTACTGCAACCTGTCACGGAAAACGGCCAAGGTTTTTTCCGAATCAACCTCCGCTATCCTCCATATGCTCTAATTGTTTGGTCCATGCAGAGTCGAAAAGACGCTGTGTGTATATTTCTCGAAGGACCGCGTCTCCATTCTGCGATTGAATCGAAAGCGATGCAAAAGGTCACTCGGTAAAAGAAGGGAGCTCTCATCGTTCATTTTGGACCTACGTTCCCAGAGGCCATCGTTAATGCCAGAGGTATGAAATCATGTACTCAAGAACCGAAGTCAGTGACGCTCGGCCAAAATTCCGAAGGTCTGGAGCCTCGTTCTAGCGCTGCTGTCCTATATGGCTTCAGGGAAGCCGCCATTGTTATCGAACCACTCCGAGAGCGATCATTGATCAATTAGGGGGGAACGCTACTATTTCTTACCAGTCCTGCCCACTCCTGAGTACGAACTCCGGCCAACGTCTCTCTCTCTTTGTGTCCTCCTTCCATCTAACAGCATTGACCCGAGTATCAAAACTCCAATCTTGTGAGAAAACCCCGCGAAGGAATTTTTTGGGTTGCGTTCACTTTGGTTCAATCAGGTCATGCTCCCACCTATAGCTTGTTTCATACATTTCTCAGCTCCTACGCACTTTTGGAGAGCCCCTATGAACAAATCCGAAATCACCATATCTGCCGAGTTAGGGAGATACTAAGTAGAGCTCCTACGTTTTAATGATGCTTGGCTATTCACTGCTGCTGCGAGTTGGGGAGATGGGATGATGCTAAGACTGTGGACAAGACTTGTTTCTTCCACCATTTCACCGGTCGAATGCGGCAGATTTTGGAGGGACTATAATTCACATCCTCAAATTTTCGGTACCTTTGTTGCCAGGTACCTTGCTTGGCTAAATCAAGGGGAGTGAGGTTATCGGGTTGACGAGGCTTTAGGGGACTCCCTCTTTATCAAACTTCACGGAAAGCCTCTCTTTTCGGACCTCGGCAAGCTCTTCTCGGCGAAATACTCCAGGCCATGGCTCGGGAACTTCTACAAGTATTCTTCAAGCTGTCCTTCTCTCAATGATGCTTTGAATGTGGGTGTCATGAGACTGTCATTTACGTTCTTGTCTTCTTTCTTCTATGCATCCGTTGATTGACAGAAGCGGAATTCTGAAGTACTAGCCGCTCAGAGTGTGGATAGAACAAAGGACCGTTTTTGTCGTCACTTCGCGACCATGAAAGCCATACAGATCAATCAGTATGTCAAGACTTATGCCGAGCTGCGCGCCAGGGACGTGCCAGCGCCAACACCAAAGGAGGATCAAGTACTAGTCACAATCACCCACAGCGCGCTCAACCACGTCGACCTCCTTTACAGCCGTGGCGCGCACCAGAACAACCACAGCGGCCTGGTCAAGCCCCCATTCGTTCTGGGCCTTGAGTTCGCGGGGGTTGTTGCATCAGCACCTCCGGCGTGCGGGTTTACAGCTGGGGATCATGTCTGGGGAGCTGGCGTCGGCGGGTTCGCCGAGCAGATTGCAGTGCCACCATCAGCGCTGCAGAGATTACCCACGGGATGGACGCTGCGCGATGCTGCGGGCGTGGGTGCCGCCACTGCGCCGGTGAGCTATGGGGCCTTGGTCCGGATTGCGGAGGTTAAGGCCGGGCAGATCGTGCTGGTTCATGCCGCGGCTGGGGGACTGGGCGTTGTGGCTGTCCAGATCGCCCATGCGCTCGGGGCGAAGGTCATTGGCACTGTGGGCAGTGAGGAGAAGGCCGAAGTCGTGAGGAGACTGGGAGTTTTGGGCGTGGTCAGATATGATGCAGAAGGGTGGGAGAAGGAGGTGCTCAGGCTTACGGGCAATGTCGGAGTCGATTCCGTGTATGACACGGTCGGGTTGGTTGAGAAGAGTATCCGATGTCTGAGGTTTGGTGGAAATGTCGTCATTGCTGGGTTTGCCGGGCTCGATGGGAAGATGGAGACGCTCGCCATGAACAGAGTGCTTCTCAAGGGCGTAAAGTTGTTGGGATACGTGAGTATACCGCTTCCCTCCTGACCCCGGACACAACAGCTGACTTGCTGCACAGAGATACGGCGAAACAGGCAGACGAAATCCAAAGGAGAATGAAGAGGTATGGAGAGGTCTCAATAAAATGCTCGAAAGTGGCAATATCACGCCCGTCATCTACGGGGCATATTCTGGCCTAGAAAGCGTTCCAGGGGCTCTGAACGATCTCGCGGCACGAAAAGTCTGGGGGAAGGCCATTGTGGAGGTCCAGACACCCACGGCGCAGACCAAGTTATGACTTTTCTCCGAACCGTCTTCGTCAGATTAACATCTCCGATCAATTCATGACCAACCCTCCATCAACCACTATTTGTTGGCCAGTCACAGCCCGGGCCCACGGGCTAGCAAAGAACAACACCGCACCAGCGACATCCTCAGCTGTTGTAACTTTTCTCAGGGGTGTTACGGCCTTGATGTGGTCGAACACCTCTTTCGGAGTGCTTGCGCTGGCATCGGTGATCTGCAAGAGACCCGCAGATACCATATTGACGGTGACGCTCTTTGGTCCTAGGTCGGCTGCACATGTTCTGGTAAATGCCAGCAACGCTCCCTTTGCTGCGGTATAATCGTGGTAAGGCACTACGGGATTCTGGAACAAGTTCGAGCCAATGTTGATGATGCGGCCGTAGCCTAGCTTCTCAAAACCCGGAAGGGCTGCCTGCGTGGTGTTCAAGGCTCCTCGAAGAAAGCCCTGCAGCTGCACATCGAAGTTCGACCAGGTGAGGTCGGAGACTTTGGGCCTTGCGTCTCCATTGAAAGCAAAGTCGCCCACCATCGCGTTGTTTACGACGCACGATATTGGCCTACCGAAGTGGCGCTCAGCAGCTCTGAAAAGTTCCTGGACTTGGTTGGCATCGGTGACATCGGCTTGGAACGAAAGATGATTCCCTGTGTCAAACCCGAGATTTTCCGCCAGCACTTGCATATAGAATTCAGTCTTTTTGAAATAGTTTAGGACAACCTTCGCCCCTTCATTGTGGAACGCTTTCGCAATTGTTAGACCAAGACCGCGAGATGAACCTTCAAATTTAGGAAATTAGTATACCTTTGGTGAGAAGGCAGTGAATGGTAATGGAGTGTCTTTTGCTGCAGGGGATGGCGCTGCTCATGCGGACATGTCCTGTATAGAGCAGGTCGTACTCACCTGTGACAAGGACAACCTGGTCTTGGAGACTCATGATTTCCGATCTCTTGCATCTATTATCGTACGGTAGCCAGCGGGGAGAGAGAATGCAACTTGTACAATCTGATCTGGGGTAGAGATGGCAGCCTTGCTTGATGCCTAGGATATTTGTATTTGTTTGTATACAGAAAATTAATATAATTCCGTCTGACAACGATACCATCACACCTGCCTTTGACCAGCCTCGCTGCCTGACCTGCCAAGGCTACTACGCGAAATGACGCCAGTCACTCTGTCATTCTTCGGGTTTTTCATCTTCTATCAAGCACAGAAAAGCGCGACGGGAAGCTGTGGCCCGTACCTTAAGCCGACATTGCCGTCACATCGCAACTGTCTACTAACCATCACTCAAATCCCACGCATATTCTAGACTCTTGTTGCCGAATGTCTCCAAATTGCCGCCAAATTTAATGTAATTACAAGGGAGCAAATATTTCGACCGCCAACCACAAGTTCGGAAACCCTCGGTATATAGCATCGAGATACACATCTGCGAAACGAGGAGCGGAGTTGGCCGTGACGGCTTTCCAAAGTCGCAGGTACATTCTCGGTACAATGAGCGCTATTCCCTTGAACCCTTGCATACTCAGCTTCTCAATCCCGCTGCAGGGTCCATTAGCAAGCTTGTAGGGCGGTGAGATATCAGGCCATGTCAGTGAGAGTACAACCGTTTTCCCATACCTTTCTTCGCCTTCTCTCGTCCCTGTCTCCTCCTTTAGATGGCCCTCGACGCCATGGCCTCACTTCACCTCAATGACATCAAGCAAATATCAGATATTGAGCTTACAGATGCTGCAGGGTCATCATCACCAGGCGATGCAGAAGTCTTTGATGATAGCACCGGCCATGTCCCGGAGAAATATAGAGGAACATCTGCCGACCAGCGGGACATGAACATTATGGGCAAAAAGCAGGTCCTGCGGGTACCAAATTTCCCTCTCTGAGCATGCAGTGCGCAACGTTGATTGCTCTCAGCGGAACTTCAACTTTATCACAATGCTCGGCTTCGCATCAACCTGTGTAGCAAGTTGGGAAGGCATCCTTACGTCCGACACAACCCAGTGTTTCCACATCGTTCCTCATGACCTGACAATGGCAGATACCTTGGTTTTGTTCTCACTGACGGTGGCACTCCGCTTCTGTTCTGGGGCTTTATTGCATGTGCTGCGGGGCAGACACTAGTGTATGCCAGTATAGCAGAAATGGCATCTATGTAAGCCCACGACAACCCCATGTACAAGGATGAACCGCTAATTGATCTCCAACGGGTCACCTACAGCAGGTGGTCAATATCACTGGGTGTCGGAATTTGCCCCTCGACGAATGCAGAAGATCCTCAGTTACTTTTCCGGTATGCTTTTAACCCATCTCCAACTATATTCGACACTTACTCCTCTAGGCTGGCTCACTGCCATCGGCTGGCAGGTGTATCTTGCCAGTGTGTGCTTCTTAGTTGGCACGATCATTCAGGGATTGATTGTCCTGAATGACTCGTCCTACGTCTATCAAAGATGGCACGGGACCTTGTTGTCCATCTCTATTGTCGTCTTCTGCATTATTTTCAACACTGCCCTAGCGTCGCGACTTCCAATCATAGGTAACCCGAGAGTCCCCTCCCTTTGCTGACTGGGCTAAATTTTGACAGAGGGCATGATCCTGATCCTCCACCTCTTGGGCTTCCTTGCCATCATTGTCCCGCTCTGGGTCATGGCACCACGCGGCAGTGGACACGTCGTTTTGCTCGAATTTACCAACTATGGCGGCTGGACGAGTACCGGTCTATCAGCAATGATTGGCTTACTCGCTCCCATGGCCGTTCTGGTTGGCTACGACTGTTCCGTGCATATGTGTGAGCAACCTCTTTCCGCAGCTAAACAAACACCTAGCTAACTCTCCCTTTAGCTGAGGAAATCAAAGATGCCTCCGTTACTCTCCCCCGGGCCATCATGGGCTCCGTCGTCGTCAACATCACACTCGTCTTCATTGTGATAATCACCATTTGTTTCACGCTCGGCGACGCTGCAAGCGTCCTGGCATCTCCCACCGGCTATCCCTTTATCCAACTCTTCTACAACGCGACCCAATCGTACGCCGGCACCAATGTCATGACCGCAATTATCATCGTCATGCTCTCTGCCTGCGCCGTTTCCGAAGTGGCTGCTGCCTCACGCCAAGTCTGGTCCTTTGCTCGTGACGCTGGTCTGCCCGGCCACAGCTGGCTCTCCAAGGTTTCACCCGGCTGGAACGTCCCAGTCCCTGCCGTCGCCGTTTCCCTCACCATCTCCGTACTTCTCTCTCTCATCAACATCGGCTCTACCGTCGCTCTCAATGCTATTACGTCACTGGGTGCCATTGCAGTTTTGATCTCCTATTTCCTCACCATCAGTTGCGTCGTTTACCGCCGGCTCCAAGGGCCAAAGCTTCCCGTACGCCGGTGGTCACTCGGAAGATGGGGCCTTGCCATCAACTGCGCAGCTTTAGCGTTCCTCGTACCATTGATCTTCTTCCTCACCTGGCCCCTTGTGACACCCGTCACGGCGACGACAATGAACTGGTCGAGTGTCATGATGTGTGGCACTTTGATTTTAGCCGCGATCTACTACGTCTTCAAGGGGAGGAAAGAATATGTTCCTCCTGTTGTACACGTCAAGCGTCAAGAGTGAAGACAGAATCGCAGTCCAAAGTCTGATATTCGCCGCCACAGAGCTGAATGGATAGCATGATTTCCACCGTAGCGCATCGCCCGCCGGGCCGCCACTCCCGGGGCTAGCGAGGAATTGTCCTGCTATTAGCTCAAACATACAGGTACAAGTACAAGTACTTGTTAGAGCGCGTTCTTGACACATCGGGAGAGGACCCATGACCTGGTCGATTATAGGCGTCCATAAATGCCACGATCAGTAGATTCTAGAAATCTCAAGGAACTCGAACCACCAAAGTCACGAGATTGCTCTATCGCAAGAAGGAATGTCGATGCCAGTTCGTTTAGACTTGCTTCCCCCGCATTTACTTGCTCTAGATCATGGTTCAGCAGGGGCTGGCTGCAGACGTGGCGCGTTAATCACGCGAGAAAAAAGAATCACCCGAAAGCCCCAGTGGGATGTCCGCTCTGGCCTACTTTTGTTCGGACTATCAGCTTCATTGCTCCATTAAACGTGACGCTTGTAGCGTGCACGATCACGAAATCGAACAGATCAATTAAAAGATTGCGGCCAGATACTGCCGCTTCAGGCTCATACATCCCGAACTCGGAGCTGGCTGGGATTCTTATCTGGACTCTTGATTCGGGAAGAGCCCTGTGTCCTCACTCTTTGAGCACCCTCGAACACCATGGGGGAATATGCCAAACCAGAATCAGGCGGATGATGGTCAGGAATTCTACGGGAGAGCTTTCCACTTTAGCTTGTCGCTCTTGTGTCACACCGTCTATTTCAGCTCTCATTTGGTGTGATAAAGAGCCACAACCGCCTAATCAGGAAGGAGGCGTGGGTGGCTTCTTGGCTCTTGTTCGTATCAGTCCTCCGAAGTGTGGAATGATTCAGAAAAGAGAGGCAGCAACACCGCCGTCGAGTGATTCCCTTGCTCCATGGGTTCAGTCAGGCCAAACAACACATTGTTCACTACACCATCAACTACACCGTTCAGCCTTACAGCTCAAGGTTGATCAGTTGAAAGGCGCCTGCCAGTGGTGCGAACCTCGAGAGACATTCTGGAGTGAGATGAGACGGAAGACTGGTTCCCGAGCCTGATTTGAGTAGGGCCAGAAGTCCTATAAGAACGACCTGGGGTTCTCAATTTCTTCAACCACCAAACCCCCTAGACGAAGACCGGTCCTGACTTCAATTGATCACACTGCTCGTCTATCACAAATTCCACTTCCCAAGGATGGAGTCAGAATCATCCAATCACGGAATCAATGGTTTCTCATTTGAGTCTTCGACCGTGGCGACTCAGCCCGTGGGTGTTCTAGAAGAGAGAATTGAAGTACAATTGCTAAGTACTGAGGAACCTACTCGGGATTGGCAGAAAATAGAGACCGAGAAAGTCAAGCGTGCCGAAGAGGACATGAGAGACTACAAAGATTATGTGGATAAGCTGTGTTTTCGCCTCCCACGATCCTTCGAACGTCTGAAGAAGTTCTTGGAACGAGGCAACTGCACTTGCACCCCCGATTGTCAATGCTTTAACAGAGCTACCAAAGAGGACTGGGGATCTTGCACTTGCGTTACCACAGGAGGTAACTGTGACTGCACCGAAATAATGGACACAAACGAAAAGGATCCTCAGACCAACAAATATAAGATAAGGAGAACGTGCTACTGTCCGAGAAGGGCTTATTGTGCCACCAGAATTCCAGATCAGCTGGAGAACCCAGCTGTGCAGGATTTTGTGAGGATATACTCTATCAATCCAAAGCAAGAATCCAATTGGGACGAGTTCTTGAAAGTGGATGAGTATCGTGCGAGTAATCCCGCAGATTTTCGAAGGCTTCAGATGCGGCTTTATACGGACCCCCATTTTCAATCACAGAGGAGTCGACAGAAGCGTGTATCAGCTGAAAACGAATCAGAGACTCAGGATGAAGAACTTTTCCCAAGGGACGAATGCCGAATCGTCACAGTGAGCCACCTCAGCCCGATTATTACAGAACTCCTAGGAGCAAAATTCCAGATATCCGCGGACTTTTTCAACCGTCATCTTCCTGGAACCGAAGCTATTTCTGGGAGACTCGTATCCAGGCTACCGTCATCAGTACAAATAGATTTCGATGAGATCTATGAAAGTAGTCTAAGAGCGGGCGAAATATGGCCGCAAGCAAAGCTCGAAACGCAAGATGACTATGCGATCGAAGGGCACAATACTATCAGAGAAAATATCGAAAAGCACTTTCTATTTCCAGTTGGGTGGGACCACTTTCCCATCTCGAGGCAAGATTTCATCGCCAGCACAACCAATGTCGGCCTAAAGTCCGGTTACGAGGTCTTGCTAAAGGACCATAACGATAAGATGAAGAATGTCTTCCAATTCAATCTTTTGCATCGGATATCAATCTATTCTGAACCCGTTGGTCATCCACGAACAGGTCAGTCTCCCTTTTCCCTGTCAGGAGGAGGACAAGAAATAATCTAATATCTTTAGCGATTATAATATTTTATCCGACACTACCAGTCCATGCTCCAGGGGTTGCTAAAAAGGCACAGGAGAAAGGTCTACCATTTGACGAGCAGCCGTGCGAGTGTAGCCTTCATCCTAACGAGAAAGCAATCCGTTTCCGATCCATCCCAAACGCAATCCCCACGCCTACAGATTTTCACACGATCGAGAATGACAAGGAACTAAAATGCTGGGAGATTCAACGACAAAAACAAGCTTTTGCGTCCGCATATGACATTGTGTTAAAAATACAGCTCAAAGATTGCTTTAACGAAAACCGAAAGAGGCCGAACTCGAAGCAAACCATCCTGAAAGAGCGGTTTCGACCTAACGACGCCAACGCCAGCACCAACCCTAAGTCGAAATCGACAGATGTTGATAAATTTATTCGAATTTTCGCGGCTCCAGTGTTCCGTCTTGTTTCTGCGAACTGGGCACGTCTTATCGTTCGGCGAAGCTTTGATCTCGACTTGTTGGAATGGCGATCCTCAAACTGCCTTCGAAGCACTACAGTTGAAGAGATCAAGTCGAGGCGAGTGGCAATCACTCGGCATCAAAGAGATATCAACGCGAGTATCGACATTCTTCATTCTCTGGCATGGGGAGAGAGGCATTGTGACCTCGAGGAAACCCACCAATCACTTCCATCGATTAATCTGGGCCGCCCGAACGGCTTTCTCAAAGAGAATGAAAATCCGGACTCTTGGTGGAGTATCTATTGGGACTTCTATGAACTGAAGCAATCTATGGACGCCCTCGAGAAAAGAGCGACTAAGATTTACGACAGCCTTGTGGGAGAGATTCAAGTGGTCAGTCTGGAGAACTCGGAGAGCTGCAGCAGACGCGCCCAGACTCTGAACAGAGTTGCGTTTCTCTTCACACTCATTCTGCTGCCATTCACGGCCGTCCCTGCAGTCTACCAAACGACAAAAGGCAAGGATGCGCCAGCGGACGGCGCCAGCTTTGCTAGATGGATCTGCTATTGCATCCTTATCGTCTTCGCAGTCATGGTCAGCTTTGTCATGCTCTTTGACCTCTGGGACATGGACTATCTGCATCAGCATGGTTGGATAAGGCCCCTCAAATCACGGTGGGAACATGCCAAGGAATATTTGGTCGAAAGGGACGCATGGAAAGGAGTGATTCAAAATGTGAACGACCAGCGAAGTTGGCACGAGCGCAACTGGCCTGCATTATCGTCATTACCAGGTTTCCGCTGGTGCCGAAGGTTCGAGCCACGGCTGCCACCTGGAGACCCAGTGGACACCTTGCCTTGAAAGATATATCACTTACTTATCCGCGGGCCTTTGAGATTGGATCGGAGGCGGTGATGATCAAGATTCGAGGTTCGAGAATCCAGATGGATTTTCTCAATGAGCAGTTCAAAAGGGCTTGGTGGTTCATTTGCATTTTTGATAGGATGAATTTTTTTCCCTCGAAACCCATTGATTTTTGGTACATAGTATGGCTAGGTACATGTGACCTTGTGCTCATAGACCGAGCCCCCAAGACCAACAGGAAACTGGACCTCAACGTCCACTTCGTGAACAACAGATACACGATCCCTGTCTAGTTTTAGACAAGGATATCTGGCTTATCTGGACCAACTTAGGCTAATTTGAACATAGGCGGCAAGAATCATCTTCTCAAAAAGAGCTCAGATGGATAGGTGGACACATGCAATCGTTGTAGTCTGGAGTGCGGAGGTACTCAGCACTATCCTTATTATACCGAGTATTATGTACCACAAGCTGGGCCGATACTTGTAGGCTGGTGCGGCCTAATAGCTAGTGGCCTTTTCCGGGGGGCCCGCAACAGCAGTTCACACTCAGGGTTTTCCATTCATGCTTCACCGTTACTCTGAGTGCTTTTTATTGGAGGACGTAATCGGCGATCAACAGTGGACCCAGCGGTGCTCGGTTATTTTACGTCATATGTTAATATCCCAGAAATTGGGAGAAAATTGTTTGTTGACGACAATTACCATTATTCAGCTCCGCTGGCGCAATGGTAGCGCGCCAGACTTCTATATGGATATCTGGAGGGTATGGCAACATCCTCCAACACCGCGCTACAGTTAGAAGAACTAACAAACAATTTTAGCTGCGAGTTCGAGTCTCGCGCGGAGTGTGAATCCTCAGTTGTTTTTTTTTCTTTTTGTGGTGGGAGAGTGGCATCAGGAGGAAACTTGGCGGGGAGGAAAACTTCCCTGGACTTGGCAATCGTAGATATTTCTTTGGTGTTGGTCCCCGCTCTTCATACAGACACGTCTTCCAAGTTCGAGCAGAGATGGCAAGTCCAAGTCCATCGCGCCCCGAAGACATCTATCCGACTGACCAGCTCGTGGTAACAGCGATTCACGTGCTCTTCCCTTTTGGATTCAGTTGTACCTTTCGACATCCAGATCTCGCAGAGAGCGATGGTGGTGCCTGTACCAAAGCGTCCAAAACTCGAGGGCTCCTCTAATTAGAGAAACAAGGCTGCATACATAACAGGGCTAGGTAGGTTCTTCTCCCCAACTGGCTACTCGTCCAGAGGCCCACAGTGGTGGCCCTGCCTGCCTGTAGAGCACACTACTGCCGGGATTAGCATAGCATGCAAGGCTTGCCCTTTCTGCCGAGAAGGGATGCACACTAGCTAAAAGTTCGGGGTTTGTCCACCCCATTAATCAATCAACCAATCCATCAATCGATCCAGCATTAACGATGAAAGGGCCCGGACTTCGCGAGGTATGATTCGATTTCCGGATCGCCAGGAAGCTACCTACATCGCTCCCTGCAGAGAGTGAGCTGGAGGGATGCATTCATTATGTTCCAACTTCCTCTAGAGCCGAAAGGAAAATGAAAAAAATGAAAAGGCCATATATACAACATGAAATGGATACAAGCCGATCGCTGAGCTGATTACCTGCCCTTGCCCGCGTTTGTCGATTGTCGTGTGGCCCTGAAAGTCAGCCCCGTCGGCCAGAGTGAGCGAGTGATGGCCATGACGCTCCAACCATCGACATGACCGGGCTCGACACCGTGTCCATCAACGACAACCACAGCGTGGTATCCGTGGGCGCCGGATCGTCCTGGCTCGCCGTCTACGCCTATCTCGACCGGCTCAATCTCGCCATCACAGGCGGCCGGAACGTCGCCGTCGGCGTAGGCGGCTTGACGTTGGGTGGCGGCATCTCCCACTTCACCGCCCGCGTGGGCTGGGCGTCCGACAACGTGGTCAACTTCCAGGTTGCTCTTGCCGCAGGGGCGCTCGTCGATGTCAATGCCACGTCTTATCCGCTCCTCTTTCGCGCCCTCAAGGGAGGGCGTAACAACTTTCGGGGTCGTCACGAGATTCGACCTTGCTACTTTTCCGCAGGGGGACATCTCGGTCACCACGCTTAGCCGTGCGATTGAGGAACAAGACAAGGTATTTGACGCCTTCACGGACTTGACGGCCGCCACGCCCTTTGACCCCTACATCTCGCTCGTCATGGGCCTTCTCTTCAACGCCACGACCAAGGCATGGACTCTTAGTAACTGGGCCGTCTACGCGGCCGCGGGTCCCGACCTGGCAGCATTTCGACAATTGAGAGCCATTCCCAGCCTGTCCAACACGACGGGAATAATAACGAACCTATCGACGTTCGCGAACGAGAGCCTGATGCCGCCTCTGTAACCCAACCCCCTATCTACTTGCAAAAAGCCCTATCACCGCTCCCATTTCAACCTAGGAACTGGCTATTCTGAACCGGCACTTATTCCGTCTCAGCCTCGTTGATGTCGCAGACCTTTGACGTCCTCAACACCAGCCTCCACAACTTCACCGTCCCGGCGGCGTCGTGTGGAGCATTGCCTTCGAGCCCCTTCCGACAATAATTTCCTCTTACGCGTCTGCAAAGGGGGGCACCTCGCTCGGGGTATCGTCTGCTGATGGGGACGGATATGTCCTCCTCCTCTCCGCGCTGTAGCTAGAAAGCTCGTCCATCAGCCTCGTAGAACACATGGCGCGGTCTGTTGGTGATCAGATTGACACCCTCGCCTCGGCCAAGGGTATGTTGCGCCGGTTTCGGTCCCTCAAATATGCGGATCCAAGGCAGAAGCCGTTGCGGAGTTACGGCCCGCACAATCTCGCGAGCCTGTGGCCTGCAAGTCGCGTGTATAATCCCCGAGGCATATTTCAGAGGAACGTCCCGGGTGGTTTTAAACTGGTCTGACAGCTTCTAAGGGGTTGACCAACTAGGGAAATGGCGAGATGGGTAGCATCGTACCACGACTGAGGAACTTGTCAGCAATTGGAGGCTGTTCGTTGCACGGATTGTGCTGCCTGGTCGTTGTTCGATAGTTCCAGCCGTCTCTCGGATCCAATGCGATCCGAAGTCCATCTAACCCCCTGCTACGAAGAAAATGAATGCGATACAATGCCCTGCGTCGCCTAGCTTCTCCCTTTCAACTGACCTCGAGCCATGAGAACCACTTCTGCTGTGGTTCCCCATTGAGCCTTGCCTCCCGTCTTCTCACACAGTCGGCATAGTACTCGTCGTCGGGACCGTAGATCTTGAGTGCGAGATCCAGCTCCTGGCTGGCCCAGTAGTCGCTCTTTTCCAGATCGCCCCGGCGACAGTTGACGAGCGACAGGTTCTGGCACGTGAAGACGCTGCTCTCGTGCACGGGGCCTCGGTAGGAATTTTCCTGAGAATCTAGTGCGAGTATCGTCTCGAAGGCGCTCTCTGCGTCGTCCCAGCGCCCTTGCTCGAGGTACAAATTGCCCAGCCGGCGCAGACAGTTGCGCGTCGCGAGGCTGGAGGCGCCGTAGACTTGGCGGCTCACGCGGCAACATTCGTGGATCAGCGATTCGCTGCATGCGAAGTCGCCTGCGCGCATCAGCTCGACGGAGCGCGTCTGTTGCAGGAGCAGTACGTCTGGATGTGCCGGTCCCACAAGCCATGTCCGTCGATAGAGGTCCAACATGACGTTCAGGCAAGGTTGCGCAACGCGGCGCATCGTGTTCCAATCCACGATTCTGCTCATGACGTGTGTCAAGGGGTGCTGACTCCCCAGAACTTTTGCGAACATGGACGACATGAACCGTAGGACCGACTCCCATACCTGCCGGTGGCGGGTCCAGCGGCGGTTTCCCATAACAAGCAACAGACTGACGAGAGCGTATTTTGAGGGGCGGATCAGATACTCCTCGGCCATGGCACAGCCCCTTTGGAAGCCGGCGAAGGCATTCTGGACCTCGCCTTGCTCCAGGAGGTTCAGACCGTGCTGAAACTGGGTCCAGATGTAGTCTTTCCGTCGTCGAAAGGGTTTGATTTGCTTGATCGACGTGTCGGAAGGGTCAAGTGGAGGAGTCATGACGTCCGAGAAGGAGGTTAGAAAGGCCTCCGTAGCCAGGACGATCGATTCGGCCGTGTCGCTGATCTCGTCCTCGATGAAGAGACTGGGTACTGGGGTTGGGACACTGCGGAGTCGTTTGGCCAGTTCTTGCTGTCTGCCTTGTCCGGGCTCTAGGCTCTCGTGATCAAATCCAACTAGCTTTAGAAAGCCATCCTGCAATAAACAGGCTGTCGTTGTGGTGACACGACCATCATCCTCGGTCTGGGTCTGGCCTGTGGAAAAATCGGTGTTGAAGCTAGTCACCAACGCTGTGTCGGGATCAAACAGGATGCCCGGCGGATTCGACTGGGGAGTTCCCCCTCGATGGTATTTGCGTATCCCCCAAGATCTGAGTTTGTTCTTGTACGAGCGGCACCTAGACGAGATCAGCAGAGTGGAAAACAATGACCACGGTATTAAGTTGCTCGCCGTACGAAGCCTTGAAATGGTATTTCTGACATAGAGTCCTCTGGACGTCACAGAGATTTCGCCCCTCTCGGACGTACAGCTGTTGAATGATGGACTTGTGCTCTTCCCAGTCAGCCAACGACGGAGGGTAAGCCGAGCGAGTTGGAGGCGTCATGGCTTGAAGGTTCTCAGACCAGAGAACTGCTGTCACAACAAATGGCTGCTCAACTTCGAGCCCGGTCCTCACAGGTCTGGACATGGTACATGGTTATGAAGAATAAGAGCGAGAAACGGTAAAGCTTCCAAGTCCACTAGACTGGTACAGACTGTGCCGTCAAGGGTAGAATAGAGAGTAGCATTTCATACAGAGGACTGAGAGAGAAGCAAATTGTGGATGATTGGGGCTGAAAGAGGGGGAAAAGCCTCGCAGTCGAGACGCAGGATCTCCTCTATTACGCCACAATTCCGAGTGGCAGTTACTGGTGACTGCTCGATATAGCGTGGCTTACAAGCGACATTAATTAGTTTCCCTGTATTCGAGCCAGAAGAAGTTTCATAAATCATGGTTCACATTCCCGCCATGAGATCTGTTATAATGAGATCCATCTCTGATCAGTCCCCCTGGCTCAATCACTGCCCAACATAACAATTATTGTGCACCGCCAAATATTTATCTTCTTGAAAAATCCATTTTTCTTTTCTGCGACAGCAACGGTGTTGCATTAGTCGAAACAGGAATCATTATCAGGAATTCCCACATCGGTCTGCTGAGGTTGGAGATGCTGTCCAGAATAGAGAGAGGATCAACTCGTTGAATTCCCAACAACTTCGTGAGGACGCTGCTGGCAATGAATTGCCCCGACAGAGACATTAGCCTCAGTCTCAACTTCTTCGAGACAGATAGAATTAGTGTCTCGAAACGGGCGTTAACCGTTTCAAGGAATTGATAACTTTGATAACAGCGGAAAACAACCAGACCGTGTTTCGCGCAAGCCACAAGCAAAGTTGTCTGAGTTTGGTGGTATTGCAGCCAAGGTTGTTCGAAAAGATCAGCTGCGGAAAAAGAGTGATATTATATCTCCCCAGGCTGCTGGGAGTGAGCGACGTGCAACCTTTCGTGTTGACCAAAAAGCATACCTCTCAGGGCCGTCCCGTGATTCGCACCCAGGAGGAGCTCCTCTTAGCCATTCTCAGTCTGAAGATTGTGATACCGTCAACTTCTGCAGAGGTGAATTCGCCCCTGTCCTCTAGAGTGCCTCCTTGCACTATGCGACATCATCCTCATCAAAGATTTGGAAGGTGTTATTGAGAATGGTCTCCACGACTTTTGCCTGCCACCCAGCGTCTGCTATATCAGCCCCCCCGGCCGCATTTCCATTCGTGCCACCTTGCTGCCCCATCAATGTCGGAGCAAACACGATTGCCAGGTTGCTGTGGGTCATCTTGTTCTGGCCACTGTGCTGTGCAACTTTGTGCAGATGAATGGCCAGTACTCTGAGAGTTGCGTAGTTGGGATCAGGCAGGGCATTGACGAGGGCGTGAACTGAGTCTCTTCGCACAATGTCGTCTTCTATTTTGGCGGCTTGGATAAAGTCCCGGTACTGCGCAGCTGTGAGCAACGGATCTGGAAGATCGCGGAGGAAATGTTTGAGGAGTGTGGTAACCGACGCGATATCATCGTGAAAAGCTGCTGGGTTGCGGAGGTCGATTGAATTGGCATCTGAGGACGGTCAGCTTGTGCTTCAGTACTAGAGATCGATGATCCTACCATGATCAAATTGCTGTCTTAACTCCATAATATGATTTGTCGACCCCGAAGTTCTGTAGATGCCTTCAACATCCAGTCCGAATAGCTCTACAGCTTTAATACACTGCATGACGATGATCGGCACAGCAGATCCTTCTCGTTGGAACAGCTCGTCTAGAAGCACTCCGAAAACCGGTCGGATGGGCGGACCCGGTCTTGGACCTGCTTGGGCTTGTGACGGAAGCACACTGACACCACCAGCAGGAGGACCTGGGCGAGGTGCGCCATTCTGAGGCCCGACCGGTCCTGGGCCAGCGGTCCCACGACCGGCACCCTGAGGACCAGCAGACGCTTGTCCTCGACCCATACCTTGTGGTGGTTGACCTCGTCCGACTCCTCCTAGTGGTGCTCCTCTACCCATTCCATTCTGAGGAGGTTGCCCACGTCCCATGGCGGCTTGCGGTGCCTGACCCCGGCCAGCGCCATTTGGTGGCACTTGGCCTCTTCCCATTGCACCTGGAGGTGCTTGGCCTGGGCCCGGGGCCCCTTGAGGCGGCTGCCCTCGTCCCATTGCACCCGGTGGAGCTTGGCCAGGACCTGCTTGAGGTGGCTGTCCTCGCCCCACGGCGCCTTGGGGTACTTGGCCAGGACCTGCTTGAGGCGGCTGTCCTCGTCCCATCGCGCCTTGCGGTGCTTGACCTGGGCCAGGAGCTCCTTGTGGCGGCTGTCCTCGCCCCATTGCGCCTGGTGGTGCTTGGCCTGAGCCGGGCGCTCCTTGAGGCGGCTGTCCTCGGCCCATTGCGCCTGGTGGTGCTTGCCCACGGCCCATACCTTGCGGCGCTTGTCCTCGTCCCATACCCTGTGGTGGCTGGCCTCGACCCATTCCCTGCTGAGGCGGGGCACCCTGACCATTTGGTTGAGTTCCCGGGGCTTGTTGCTGTTGCATCATTGGTTGCTGACCAGGAGCCGGCGGCCCTTGAGACATTGAAGACACGTTGCGGACATGACCGGGCCCTGGAGCCTGACCTGGGGCGACTATAACAGTTTGGGGTCCGGACCCTTGGGCACCTTGAGGCCTTACCATCTGCTGATTCTGCTGTTGAGGGTTCTGTCCAGGCGCTGGATTTTCTGGTTGATACTGAGAACCATCGTCGTAATATTCCTCGCCTGGATAAGGAGTGACTCCCGAAACTTGCCTTCCGTGGGTCGGAGCATAAGGATCTTCATTGTAATACGGATTTGGATATCCAGGCTGCTGTTGTTTCGGCGATAGTGAAGGATGCTGTTCATACCTAATTTCGTCCGGTCTCGTTGGAGCCTTGTTGCTAAATCCAAGGACGAAATCGGCGAAATCTTTCTCGTTGTTGATGCCCGAGGCCAACTCACGTAGACTCTTGGAACCTGGAATTGGCGAGGGGCCTTTGATAGGCGTTATGCAGAGACCAAACCCCAAGAGTAGCTTTTCACTGAGACTGGCAAATTTCTGCACATGCAGACTCAGGCCAGCGTCAGTCTCCCTGATGAGTTCTGACAGCGCATTCACCGTTTGGGGTCTGAGAGTGCTCAATAATTCATTCCGCTGACTCTGTGCAGCTTCGACTTTGGCCGAGTAATCCGCGTCGGCAACTTCAAGTTTGTGTCGTAGCTCTTCTTCCATTTGGGCAGCGGACCTTTTCAAGCCAAACTTACCAGACTGCCTTTCGCCGGTCCTGGCGCGGTCGTACTGCTCCGCCAACGAATTGTATCGGTATTTGGCCTTCTCCATGGCGGCTTCTGCGTCTTGCACACGTTTTTCAGCATTCCCGCCAGTTTGCTTCCAATATTTCCGCGCCTTCTCGGAATTGGAAGCTAGTTCAAATAGTTCCTCGGCCATTCCGAATACCGTGCTGGCATACTGGATGGCATGGTCTGCCATTCGGTCGTGAATGTTGGTCATCTCTTTGTAGTTTTGAGCAAATGTTCCTTGTCGGCTGTCGGGCCTTCCTATCGAATCGTGCGTGGTCCGACTTAGTCTCTTCAGGCCCTGTGCATGTTTCTCTTCCAGAGTCGATCGTTCCTTCAGAAAGGTTGCAAAGTCCTATTCCCAGTCAGCAACCCATACGACTGGCAGGCGAAGGAAGTCGTACTCTTGTAGAGCTGATGCTTTGTTTCAACCGGTTCAGCAAGGTGCTCATGCCAATCTGAGAGGTTGGTCAACAGGGTCACAATGGGAAGTCAGGCTCATGCTTACGTCTGAAGAGAGAACAAGTTGCACCCTCTCTCTGGACGCCGGATCCAACTCTTCTCGTTGAACATCCGCTGAAGGAACTGGAGGTAGAGGTAATTCATTCTGTTGCGGAGGGTTCGGTGTCATAGGACGAGGGCCGCTGTTGACTGGCACTGGCGCATTTGGCTGAACTGCGGCGGCCATATCTGACAGCCTGACGTCTGGCCAGGGTCAATGGGAATCGATGGATGCCGGGAGGGTAGATGCAGGAAAGTCGAAGGGGAAAGACATATGGCAGCTCTGGGATTCGTGTCAGCTGCTCTGGAAGAGAAGGAAATGAAGTTGGTCGAATGTGTCGCAGTTCTGTTTGGAATGATGTGACGAATGCCTGGTCAAGGGTCTGCTTGACATTCGGTGCTTCCCGCCTCGCTGCCACGCGAGTTCCGGGAAATGGGCGTCACCAAAACTCCGATCTTAGGTACCGAGGGCAGCGAGGGGCCCCGTTATGAGAAGCTTAAGCTGGCCATTGGGGGGCTACTAGGCCTCACTGGGCCTCACTCGCCCTTGGAGGCGTCATCCTTGTCAAGCTGCGCCTCGTTAGCCACAGGCTCTTTGGGCGCTGCAGCGGGCATTCTCCACCCTTGACCCTCGAACCCTATTCTTTGCTACCGCTAACGGGCATTCCGCTATTATTCTCCGTGCAAAGATCGGCGCCGCAGGATTAGTACTTACCTAGCATGCACTAGGTTCATGGAGTGGAGATTGCTTCCTAGCGCAGCACTGCCTAACAAGTAGACCGTGCCCCAGGTGTGTATTATTGGCATCTGCATACCATAAGCTGACACTGAACCAATGCCATCAAGGGAATGGTTATGCAGAGCAGAGGTCTGGCATTCAAGCTACATAGGAAACACGGGTGCCGAGTGCTGTCAACTACAGTCTTCCCCTTCGCCTGTCTTCACCAATCTTGAGTACCGGCTTGAGATTCTTCTCCTGGACCCGATCCCAAAGACTGCCTAGTCCCAATTTCCTTCCCCTAGCGTCTTCCCTGCGAAAGAACTCTTCTGCGCTCCTGATCCTGGTGGGATGAATCTCGTCTAGCAGCTTATAATCTCGACGAATGACACCCTCATTGTGACCAGAATACTTCCACATGTTGAAGAATCCAGTGAAATTCTGTTTGAACGTCATGAAGGCGGGGTCGTTGGGGTCCGAGTTGTACCCTGCTCCAGTGTTCGCAGCACCGGCCACGTTTCCAGTCGACCAATAGGTGTCGAGATCGGTGTCGATGTATCTGGCCGGGTGC